TTTCTGAAGAAGGGTCTAGGCCCGAAACGTCAGCCTTCCTGCTCCTCTGATGCTGCTTGGCCTGCTGTGTTCATCCAGCTCTACACCTTGTTAACCCAACCACTGTCTCGGATTTTGCTTCCCTCAGCCCTAATGTTGAATTGCCATTCCAGGGTAAGTGTATGGCAGCTTTGTTTCTGTGTGGAGGCAGTAGAGTCACAGATTTGTTCCATGTCACATGGTGGTTTGTTCATTTTTACTTCACAAGCATTGGGCACTGACTGGCCAGAGTGTAGAAGGGCGAATTTGCTGGGGAGAATCGAATAACTAAAGGGAATCCCTGAGAATGTCTCCTCATCCTTCCTAAAGCCAAGGCACAATACTTTCCTCCAAAAAAAGTCTTTGTTAAATATTTCCCAACTAATTAATATATTTGATCACACTCTCTTCCCTAATTATTGAGTGGAAAATTAACTCCACCTTGCTGCAAAGCTGTGCCAAATAAAGTATAAGAACGAGCTGACAGTGGAGAATCTTAAAAATTATTATTGACAGTTTCAAATGTTTAAATATAATCCAGGAGACAGAGCCTTTCATACACAATACTGGTCTGCAGAAGAAGTGTTCAGCTCCTGTTATTTATCCTCAATTGTGACTATCCCTGTTCCTGGAGTTTGCAATACAAGGATCTTCATTTTGACAGATGCAGTGTAATAATGATGGAATATCTTGAAATACCTTGTGAAAATATTTGTATCCAACAGTTGAGCCTTGTGAAAACACTTTTGCTCCATCCAGAAATGGGACGGATCAGTACATCAGTTGTTACATTCCAGCAGTAAGTCCAGGCTGATTGAACTATTACACGCTCTGAAAGCCGTGAATGAACTGTTCATTATGTAGCCGAGTCATGGTTCATTCAACATGCAATTCATACTTAGGCCATGTCAAAATGTGACCACATTAAAATTGCTAGCATTTAACTGAAACTGAAAGGAACCTTTTGATTACTGTAGACACCTAATGCTGTGAATGGTGATTTATTCCATACGAATAATAGAAGTCTATAAAATAAATAGTACTTTTCCAAAGTAAGCATTTGCTTAGCACCTCAAATACAGTAATGCTGACATTGTTCTGTGAATTATATGCAATTACACATTTTAGATTATAGCAATCTTTATCACTGATAGGTTCTGCATCCAAGTCAGTGTTTTGTTTTATCACAGGTTTTTGTAACAATTGATGCACATGATTTACATCAGGAGAGTTTGTACGTATTTAATTAAGTGCTTTTATAATTAGACTACGACGCTCTATCCACTTTAAATGCTGCTTTTGTTTGCACTCTTTTGGAAAAGCTATTAGACACTCTTAATGATTGTTTGATGTGCTTGGGGAAATTTATGTGTCATGTAGGAAGATGTGGATTTTAAAGCCTCAAGATCTTTGGAAATATTTGTTTCTTTTTCAAAATCTCAAGTATTTCTAAAGCACATGTTATTAGATATCTTTTGTTTGAGAACAGACCATCAACCAGGCAGGTTAATCAATAACCCAAAGCAGCATAGTATTGCTGAGTGTAGTGAACCCCTGGCATTCGGAACTGTGAATGATACGTATATCCTTTGCTGGTATTGCTAGCTCTAGGGAAGGGCTGCATATATCTGCACTTAAACTGGTGAGCTGCATCAGTATTGAAGATCAGAGGTGGTGCAAGCCAAGTGACAAACAAGAAGATTTTTAAATGGAGTGGATGGTCACATTTTTAAAATTTGACAACAATTTGTGTTTTAATTGTCACTTTAGTAAATAGGATGTGGTACTTGCACACGCAAGTAAATGTATTTATATTCCCCACTTGCTAACAGTCTGCCTACTGTTTCCATTCTAGGACCACCAGGAGAAAAGGGAAGACATGGTCGCAGAGGTATTCCAGGTACGTGACACTGAAGGAACATTTCCCCTGACGGAGGAGCAGCGCTCCGAAAGCTTGTGATTTCAAATAAACCTGTTGGACTATAACCTGGTGTCATGTGACTTCTGACTTTGTCCCACCCCAGTCCAACACCGGCTCCTCCACATCTTAGAGAAAGGGAACTCAGAAACAAGTGAATTATAGAATGCTACTTTGATGTATTTGGTGCCAGATTCTCTGGGCAATACCTTAATGATTGAGGTGGTACGGTTCTGGCCAGCTGGTTGGAGGGATGATCAGAGACCCCTGGTGCCTCTCCCAGGGAAGGCCCTGCCAAGTGACATGGCCTGTGTCCAATCCCACCCATACGGTAACAGCTTCCTACACAGGCTGACCCACAGGCACACCAGTTAACAACAGGCCTACTCACCACTTGGTTAAACCAAGTCGTGGCAGGCTGATCGCTTCAAAGGATCCTTAAAAAAACTACTTAAAGACCACAACTGGCAGTTGGACAGGAAGGTTGACCTGGGCCTCCCCATCCAGAATCTAATTCGAGTGGAGGCAGGAGGACTGTGGGGTTTGGGGACACCAACCTTATTAAATCCCCTTCCTCGCTCCAAACTCACTCACTAGGAGCTACAGATTCAGCCCTACACAGAATATGTTCCTTTCAGATAGATTATTCACGCAACCCACTTAGTAAGGCAACATTGTGACAAAGCAACAAAGTTCTAGCTAGGAAATAATAGGAACTGCCGATGCTGGAGTCTGAGATAACAAGGTGTAGAATACAGGCATAGTGTTTCAGCTCTGACTCTCCATAAACCAGCAACATCCAAAAACTAGACCTTGTTTTTTAAACCAGTACACGTGAAGTTTAATTACTCCAAGATGAGTACAATAACTTTCCCAGTGCTGTATTGGTGCCATGCTGTGCTGACTGGTTATTGGTTTTGTGTGCCTGTCTTTTCCCACATTCCGAGTGGGTTTGAACAATCCTTGACCCAGGCCACCCGACCCGGAAACCGGGAAGCTCCCAAACCCGGAACAGCCTCGGTCCTGAGGTTACCGGTTTCGAGATGCTGTACTTGTCAATCATTCAGTTGTAGAAGTATAGGAGTGTGGATAAATATCACTGTATGGTTAAGGCTCCCAAACTTCCCATATCTACCAAGTCCAAAACTGACTTCTTGAGTAGGATTTTGAAAGGTGCAAATTATGCTTTTTAGTATTAATTCAGTTCAGCTGTTGTTTCTAGAAGGTGTGTGAAGAAATCAGCACAGGAGTTGTTAATGTGAATCTGTTACCAATTACATTCAGTTAAGTTACTGAAATGTGATGGATGCCCTTTGCAAGGTGTGAGCTAGTTTGTTGAAATTGCACAAATTGGCTGTTTATTTTCGCAATGATTTTATGAATAAAGCAGGTAAAAGGCTGGAACTCATTCCCCATTCCCGAGGGGAGCTAACTCCCAGGATTTATGTGTGTCTTTGTTAACAGTGGACACCAGACTGTATTCACTCAGTCTTGAGATGTTTACCTCTTAAATAGATTCAGCCAAATGCTTTTCAATCTTCCCTATTTTTCCCTCCTTGATTTTCAATGGCATATTTGGAGGATAAAGGGTAATTTCCTTGTTTTTTCCCACCTCCATGATCACATAGCGTTGGACCCAGAGTCGAGCACCTTAATTCATGGAAGAAGAATCACTTGTATTACTTTAATTTGGCTGTTTCACTTAGTACTGTTTCAGCAACAATACAGACAATCTAAGTCATGGGGTTTTACCACATGAACAAGGTTGCTTGCTGGAAAGGACAATTGAACGATTTAAATGGGAAATGTTCATAGTGATTTTGATTCTTATCGATGTGCTACAAATAATAGAATAATAATCGTAGTTCCTGCTACAAATACTTGTATGTAGTGTAGATATTTTGTAGCCTATTGCCACAAGACATGGTTTCCAGAAATTTTCACAATGCGAAAAGACTCAAATGTCGACTCTTTTTATATTTGTCCACCTGTAATGATCTGTCAAGGGGCCCTGAATGACAGTGGTTTGAGTTGGTGTCAATCTGGTGCTGGGCATATGGCACTAATTGGTGGAGTGTGTTAACCTCCCTGGAGAGAGGCAGAGTGTGTGCCAGTTGGCTTGAAGTGCCAACAATGGGCTGGGCATTGGACTGCCCCATTGGCAGCATCTTAAAGGGAATCTTCTCTGTTCCAAATGAACCAAAGTGTGCAACATCCTAAAATGCTGGCAGTGTCATGAAATCCAAAAGATGATCCCAGTTCTGTTTCTGTCTGACTTGTACAAATACTTTTACAGTTATTGGTCTGAATTGTCATTCAACAATTTTTTTAAAATATGCAATTAGTTAATTAAGTCTGGGTCAATACTTGTATTAATTCCATGAAGAATATTTCAGGAGTATAACACGTTCTCCTCTCTGTTCTTATGTTTACAGGGGCTGCTGTAAGTATACAATTGGCCAGTATTGCCTATGGGAACAGGTTGGGTAAAGAAAAATACATTTTGTCTAAATAGTGTATTGTATTTTAGATATTAATCCGTTGCTGCTAAATCTTTCCAGTACCATCATAACCTTTTCTTAGTCCTTTCATTTAATATTATTCTTGTTAATTAATTGTGATAATGGATGAACACTATCTTTTGCATCTTAGTGTACATTTTAACTTCGTACTTACTTAAGCAAAAGAGTAATAACCTTAACATTAATCCTTTGGCTTATAGTGCTATGTATGTACTGTGTTAATTTCTTTCCTCCTTTCTACTGATTTTTGTTCTTTACAGGGACCTCCAGGAAGAGATGGCTTTCCGGTAATTAGCTTTTAACTGCACCATTCTCTCCTCTCTTGTTCAAAAGCTATGTTTGCACTTTCTTTTCTTTTTTTTTAATATTCTTTCTCTGTTCTCTGCTGCTTTGTGGATTGTTGCCTCTCATTAACTTGCAATCCAGTTCTGCTTAGTCTCATTAATTAATTCATATACTTCATTTTTAATTTTACCAAAATAGAGGGAAATAAAAGACCTTCCTTAGGATGACCAATCTCAAGGACTGATGTCTCAGATATTTAAACATAAATATTAGCCATTCCCTTCATCGTTCTAATCCAAATGTTTTGCCAACACTGCTCCGCAAAAGTATTACCTTTGCTCTTGCTACGTTTGTTTCTAGGCTGTGGGTGGAAACTTATTTAACTGGTGGTGTGGTCTTAGCAAACAGCCATCATATTTCCAGCTTTATGTTTCGGGCTAAGGGCTTTTTCTCCCTGAGAGTTAACTCTTGGCCTCACCATCTGGTAGTTTGGTGTGTAAAGCATTAATTCCCAGCATCTAATGGGAAGCCTTTCATGCTGTTTGTAAGCGAACAATAAATACTGGAATGCTTGCTCTGTGATTTGGGGGCATTGACTTTGCTGGACATCCGAGTGTGCAGGTGACCATCTTTTTTTTGGGTGAAATCGCAAAAAAACTCTTCCTTTGCAGTTCTGACTGTACATTGATTATTAGGGAAACAAAGGATCCATGGGCCTACCAGGGAGAAGGGTGAGTTTTACTTTTGCATCTAATTTTAGCCTTGTCATTACATAATCGTGATGCTTTGCATTGCTGCTGAGGTACAATAGATGCTGATTTCAGCTGTTCATTCTGTCAAAGAAAATAATTTTGAAGCTGCAATATCCTTCGTACTGGGCACATCGCAACTAAAATTCAGTTGCGATATTTTATCTGCATTAACAAGCACAGAGTTATTGTGTGTGTGTCTAACCTTTGAAAAATAAATGGCACCATTTTTAGAAGTGTCATGTTCTCCCTGAAGAATCATTATGTAAACATTTATAAAAGGTCAGAACAACATCTGGTTTACAGAGATGGATGACTTTTGCTAAAGTGACATTGTGCAGCATTTTTAAAGAAAAAAAATTAATTTCAGATGCCAGGATAATGCAGCCTTAAACCATTTATTTGACAGTGCAGCACTTAACTGCACTTTTTCTTCAGAACGTTTTGCACATTTTTCTGGCTCCAGCTTGTCAACAGAGTTAGGGCTACAAACTGAAATGTATGCATTTTAAGACAAGTGTCATGTTGCCTTCGAGTGAGATTTTTATCTGGGTGAGGTTATTGTGAAATTTGTGAGGTTTTCTTGCTGTGACAACAGAGATTCTGATTTGCGAATTATCCTAAAACCTGCATTGCAACTGCTGCTTTTAAAGCATTAGTCAGTAAATGGGCTGTTTGGTGAACAGTTCTCCCCTCTAAGCAGAATCTTCAGCAAATCAGCTGCAACTGCAGAGAATCCAAAAGATAATGTATAAAATGCATTTTGTGGAGCTTTTACAGTTTACTGTTTGTCAACATAAAATCTTTGAGTTGTCTGATCAGAGTGTCACCGAAAAACTTTGTACCTCGTTTTTTATACATTTATAAACAAAGGCTCTAAATAATTTCCCATATTCCTTCGTAAATTCATTGGGTAAAATACATGTGTGAAGCATGTTGTTTTATCCATTACTTTAACTAACATTACCGAAACATCAAGGAGTAATGGGTGGGACCTCGGTATGTAATATTGTGGATATCCTCACTGTCCTAACACTGAACAGCCTCTTTAGAATTTTGATTCATTGCTGTGTAAATGCTGTGAATGCTAACCTGATTGCCATGCAGCTGGTTTGATTTATTTTAATATTGTATGTATTTAAGCAAAGGTGCTAGGAATACTTTAGTTCATAAGCACATTTATCACAGAGCTGGTATTTAGTAAAAATAAACAAAACCATTCCAACCCCCATTACTTTAAAAGGAAACAAGATCCAACTGTGTGTGGGCTGAAGGACTATTAATTGTTATTACTGTAACTCACTAAATGGGGAAATTCCAGGGGGACCAGCTCAGTTTATAAAGTCTGCCGTTGCTGTATCTCAGGTGCCGCAGGAGAGGGCAGATGCTGTTGCAAGCGTCCTTGCAATAAACAGCAAGCTTTTGTAATACTTAACCATTTCTGGCACCATCTCTTTGAAAGTCTCCGAGGTGCCACTTGTCTTGAATCTCAGAGTCAGTGCAGGGCAGAGCCTCCTGCTGTCACAGGCACACGCTCTCTTTCCCTTCTCTCCTTTAAGGAAAGTCCATAAACTATATTTAGGTTTTGGTGAGTGGACCTCAGAAGGGCAAGAACTGGTTACTGCACATAATAGGGAAGACAACGGCCTAGTGTATTATCACTGGACTATTAAACCAGAGACCTAGATAATGTTCTGGGGACTGTGATTCAAATCCTGCCTGGGTAGATGATAGAATTTGAATTCAATAAAAATCTGGAATTGAGAGTCTAATGATGACCAGGAATCCATTGCTGATTGTCAGGGAAAACCCATCGGGTTCACTAATATCTTTTAGGGAAGGAAATCTGCTATCGTACCTGGTCTAGCCTACATGTGACTCCAAACCCACAGCAATGTGAGTGACTCTTAACCGGCCTCTGGGCAATTAGGGACCAGCAATAAATGCTGGCCTAGCCAGCGACACCCTTATCCCATGAATGAAAAGAAAAAACTTGCAAAGAGCTTCGTCTATTGAAGTTTTCTAATTAATAAATCATTACAATGATCTCTCCAAACTTCCAGTTCAAAAGCTCAGTTACATTACAGTTCCAAGGGCAAACAGGCTTCAAATGTATGCATTCAGATATTTAAATAGTTAAAGAACAAAACCAACCACCCATGCAGACAGAAAATTAATGTACAAGCATTTTACTGAGATTGTGGAATAGGAAATGATCTTGGATTGACCTTGGAAGTCCCATTATGTGCAGCACTCTATTTTAAGTTAATTGACTTTAACAGAGTTGAATATCTGACAAGATGTACAATATGTAGTTAATATAGTGCAAACCACTCAATAATCTACCCTAAAGTTTGTGGCTAATTACCATGAGATTTTATTTTTGCTCATTGTCACTTAGTTCACCAATTTGTGCTACAACTAAAACTTGGCACATCAATTAGTTCCCCTGTTGTCCATAGGTTAGACTATGAAGTGCTGGATGGAGATACATGTGAAAGATTGTTAGGCCTGTTACACAACAACATTGGCCTGATCAATCACTCATCACTGCAACACAAGCCATTCCCCAAAATGATCCACTGATCTCTGCAGTTTGCCTCTTTATGGTGGAATCCAGCGTGATGTTTAGTATAAAATAAAAACAGAAAACACAGTATCAGCAGCCTCTGCAGAGAGAGACAGAGGAACAGCGTTAGCTTCTCAGATGGACAATTTCTCATTTTAAGTTTACATTCCGATGAAAGATCATTGACCTGAAAAGTGAACTCTGTTTCTGTCTCCACAGATACTAGTCAATCTACTGGGTATTTCTAGAATCTTCGAGTTGTTTATAAAATTTCTAATTTCAAGCATGTGCTATGTTGTTACATTAGTAGAGGAATAGAATCATAGAGGTCTACAGCACAGAAAAAGATCCTTCAGTCCATTGAATCTGTGCCAGTCAAAAACAAGCCCCTAGCTATTCTCATTAATATGACATTAATTTGCCACATTGCCAAAGTTGAATCTGAATCTTTCAATGCCCTCCAATTTATAATGTGATAAATGTGCTTTTAAAAGCATGAGTAGTGTAGCATTTGTTTGACACTCGTTATATTTAACTCACTGGCTTATGTTTAATATATTAGCATGACAATATAAAGCTGTAAGCAAGTTTAAATTTATCAGACTTTGAAAGATATTATGTAAATTCTAGCCCTACAACCAACTGAAATGATGAATGTCATATAACTCCCCTAACCTTATCAACAGCAACTTGCATTGATGAAGCACCTTTAACAAGGTCAAATGTCCTAAGGCACTTCAGAGGAAAGATAGAAAGCATGACAGTGGTATAGACATAATGTCACTGAGCAAGTAATCTTGCACTCCATCGGTTCACAACACAGGTTGTAAAATTTGAATTCAATTAAAAGCTGATTTAATGCCCTTTCACAAGGTAAGTCTGCTGTATATGCCCTACATGTGACACCAGACCACCTGCATTGTGGTTACTTTTAACTACCCTCTGAAATGTCCCCAGCAAGCTGCTCAGTTCCAGGGGAATTAGGGGTGAGCAATAAATATCAGCCTGACCAGTGACACCCCCAGCCAATGAGCAAATTTTATAAAGCAATGCAAATAATGAGATATGAGGTGAGCAAGTGGTAGGTTTTAAGGATAATCTTAGTAAAGGAGAGTCGTAGAAACATTTCAGGTGGAGCTTCTATATAACAGAATGGCCAACTGTCAGCACTGGCTACAATCAGCAAAAGAGGACCTGGGTTTGAATCTTTCTGTGCTTTGGCTGAAACTGGAATAAAAGTTCATCTGGGTAGATTGACAATTTAGATGAAGAGGATCTCTGGAGGTTAGTGGTCGGAATGTTGTACTCAGTTAGTTTGGCTGGTAGAAGGTGAAGCAATCATGTGGGAATATTTCAGTTAGACCCAGTCACCACTGGGTAAGGCTGGGAGAATCTGCAACTGAGCTGAGAAGCTGAATGTGCAGAGATCAAGTGAGGACCTGCTACTGGTTTCCATGGTTGAATAGTCTCCTGGCACTTGGTCGAGCTCACACATACCAGGTGTGACCACTTCAGCTGGAGAAGCTGTGAACTCAGCAGTAGGTGATTCCATTAAGAATGGAATGTTGTAAAATCACAGGTTAATGAAAAATGAAGAAACCCATATAATTGGTCTGCCTAGACCATGACTTCCCAAATAATTTCCAACTGTGACCCCCTCTCGAAGGTTGGTCATTGTTGTGAGCCCTCAAGTGAGAAATGAGAGTGCAGGGTCAGGGGGTTGAGAGAGAGGGGTTTGGGAGCTGAAAGAGGGATAAGGCCTGAGAGTGAGGGTGGTTGGGGGCTGAGACAGAGGGGTTGGAGGCTGGGAGAGTGGGGATTGGGGAGGAGTGGGGTCTGGGGGCTGAGAGACAGGAAATTGGGGACTGACAGAGTGGACCTGTTTAAGTAGGAGGACAGCTGTTATCACTCAGCCAGAGCTCCACAGTGACCATTGCAGTCTCAGAGCTCACGCTCACAAAATGTTAGAGTGTGACCAGGCAGGGGGTCCCAATCCCAATGTTGAGAAGCCTTGCCCTGAGAACACCCTATCGAACCCACCTCTCCCTCATTTCTATATCCACTCATTTCTTAAACGATTCCTTGGTTTTTCCATCTCAATTACTCATTCCACGAGACAGTTCCAAATACTCATGGGTGTCAGTGTGAAGAGAAAGACCCAAAGATAGCTGTGGTTTTCATCTAGTGTTGAGACAATAAAGGAATCCAGATACCTTTTGTTATTCATCTATGTGATGTGGCCATCACTGGCTGGGCAAGCATTTATTGCCCATGCTTAGTTGCCCTTGAGAAGGTGGTGGTAAGCTGCCTTCTTGAACTGCTGCAGTCCATGTGCTGTAGGTACACCCACCATGCTGTTAGGGAGGGAGTTCCTGGTTTTTGACCCAATGACACAAGAAACAGTGTTATATTTTCAAATCAGCATGGTGAGTGGCTTGGCACTGCTGCTAGTGAGCATTAGTGATGGGTTTAGTACCAATCAAGCGGGCTACTTTGTCCTGGATGGCATCAAGCTTCTTGAGTGTTGTTGGAGCTGCCCCCATCCAGGCAAGTGGGGAGTATTCCATCACACTCCCGACTTGTGCCTTGTAGATGGTGGACAGGAAGTGGGTCACTCAACACAGGATTCCTAGCTTGGGACCTGCTCCTGTAGCAATAGATTTATATGGTTAGTCCAGTTCAGTTTCTGGTAAGCTCCATGATGTTGATAATGGTAGCTTCAGTGGTTGTAATGCCACTGAATGTCAAGGGATCATGGTTAGATTCTGTCTTGTGGAAGATGGCCATTGACACTTTTCAACCCAATCCCAGATATTGTCTCGATCTTCCTGCATTTGGTCATGGATTGACTCATTATCTGAGGAGTCTCAAATGGTGCTGAACATTGTGCAATCATTAGTGAATATTCCCACTTTGGACCTTATGATGGAGGGAAGGTCATTGTGGAAGCAGCTGAATATGGTTGGGTCTAGGACACTCCCCTGAGGAACACCTGCAAGATGCCCTGGAGCTGAGATGACTGACCTCCAACAACCACCTTTCTTTGTGCTCGGTAAGATTGTAACCAGCTGAGAGCTTTCCCTCATCCCCTCAGACTCTAATTTTGCAGAGGCTCCAGAATTGCCCATGCTGCATGAGTTTGAATTTCCATTTGTTTTCCTGAGTTTCTCACGATTTCAAAGCCTCTTTTAGCAGGGAGATGCCTCCAACTATCATCCCCTGACAAAAATGTGGAGCTGGAAAAGAACAGCAGGTCGGATAGCATCCAAGGAGCAGGAAAGTCAACATTTCGTGTCAGAACTCTTCTTCAGGGCTCTCATTTTTTTTTTATTCTAGCTTGCAGGATCTGCAGTCCTTTCTGTCCTCAAGTAAGTATTGTCCCCTATTCCCTGGAGCCTCAGCAGTGACATTCTGTATCAGGTTGGTGTAGGATGCGTGAGGAGGCAGAGTGCAGATTCCTGTTGAGGTATAGGGGCACTCTTTGATGCCTCCTGGTCATTGACATGATTAAACAACTGTCCCTTTGCGAGCAAATGTTCCAGTTCACCATTTCCAAGGATGCTCAATGACTGAATGGCAAACCATTCTTGGTTACAGCTCTGAAGTGTCATGGGATGGTTTCACTACCTTTCTTAAATTAAAGGTGCCATTTTAATGCAGGCTGTTTTAGTTTTGTTCAGAATGAATTGTTACGATGGGTGTAACCTATTGCTGTGCTGCTTGCTTGAGGTTTGTTGCAGTACGATCTAATGCATAGTCATTGGCTGCAGATATCTTTTTGCAGGCTGCTTTAGACAGGAGCTGATAAGTATACTGTCTTTTATTTGATCTAATACTAATCCTCTATTTGTGTCTCTCCTTTACTTCTGCATGCTGTGTTTGCTGACCCTACCCAGGGTCTAAAGGGGGATCCTGGCGAAGAGGTGAGTCATGGACTTAAAAGGAAATGCCCTTAATTTGCGTTTCTAGCAGTATTTTGGGAGGACATCTAATACCCTTCCTTATCTGAGTACTGTCTATTCAAATTGCAAGTTCAAGCTGCCGATGTGTAAAAGGAAAGTGGGAAATAACTGAGAGGAAAGTTCTGGAATCAATTTCAAATTAAATTATGTATTCCCACGGGCAACAAATCTTTGTAATTTTTAACCTTTCATAAAGCAATGATTGGAAGCTTATTACATTTCATTCTTTATATTATTTATATTAGATAAACAAACCTGAAAGGAAATAAGTTTCTGTTTATGCTTTTTTTTCATGTGGGTTTCCCCCTAAGGGATCAGTGGATAATGGAAAGCAGTCTCCAACATAGTGAACTGTTAAACACGATTTTGCCACCAAAGATATTCCACCCAAGTGCTCTGTGCTATTTCACTTTCTCACTCATGGTTCCATCTCTTCTTTTATTTGCTCTGGGCATGTGGCCCAGCATTTCATGCCTGTCCCTAGTTGCCCTTGAGAAGGCGGTGGTGAGCTGCCTTCTTGAACCGCTGTAGTCCATGTGCTGTAGGTAAACCCACAATGCCCCTTAGGGAGGGAATTCCAGGCTTTGCTCCTGGCCTCAATGAAGGAACGGTGATATATTTTGAAGTCAGGCTGGGTGAGAGGCTTGGAGGGGAACTTGCAGGAGTTGGTGTTCCCATGTATCTGCTGTCCTCGTCCTTCTAGATTTGGAAGGAGCAGTTGAAGGAGCCTTAATGAGTTGCTGCAGTGCATCTTACAGATACTACACATGGCTGGCGGTGGGAGCAGTGAATATGTAAGATGTTGGATGCAGTTTTGATCAAGCGGGGTTGCTTTACTCTGTTTGGTGGTGGGTTTCTTCACTGTCATTGTGCGGGGAACAAAGGTCCATGTTGATTGTGAGATGGAGCTGTTTCTGTTGGAAACATGAATTTTATCACCTTACTCCCACACAAATTGTACGCAAAGTGCCTCTGAGCTTTCTGAGCCTTGTGCTGCAACCTGCAAATACTGTCCACACATGTCATTTTTCCTGAATTCTAGGTGTGTTGAAATTAAAACCATTCTGAGGTTTTTGTTTTGATAGGAAAGCCATTTGATTAGAGGTTCCTGGCACATGTAAGGTTTTTTCCCAGAGATCCTGGTGTGTGGCATGTTTATTTGAGATGTAGACAATCAGATGAGGCAGTAACACTTAAGGGGACTGTAGCTCCTTGTTGAGGGGGAGGTGTGAATGACTGAAAAAGCCAATTAATTATCCGCAATGGCCCAGTAATGTTCTGTGGACAGTACTGTGGATGTTGTCACAGAATGACTGGCAGCCCTGCTTCAGGAACATGTCCTTATTTTGGGCTGAAGTCCATATTTCCCTACCCACCTCTCCTGTTCAGGGGAGAGTTGTTTATTCCTTCTTATTTACTTATTCACGGGATATTACTCGCAAGACATTGTCCTGCATTTGGTGGAACTCTGTTGCAGTCACTTAGTAAAGAGACATGAACAAGACAAGCAGGTATATCACATTCCTTACACAGAGTTCCTTGGGTAGTGAAGGATGCAGAGAATATGTCCACACTTTATTTGTTGGCCACAAATTGCATTTAACTGAATCATGTGACAATCATTTAACTCCATCTTTACTTGGCATGCTAAATAGCATCTTGACAAAGTTTTGATTAAAAATGTGTCAGTCGGGGGCAAAAAAAACACGGAAAAGTATGCTTCAGGAACATCAACAATAAAGTGGAGCAAACTTGAACAGAAAACTCAGGAGACAATTACAACTTGTACCTTTCCTTTATGAACATAGTTTGAACAGCTCTGATCCTTGGACCTGCAATGAGCCCAGTTTCTGTGGCACGGTGTGTGTTACAAGTGAACACCATCCCAAAGTGAGAGATGCAACCAGGGCCCGTTGTCCATGAGATTCCAGAGATCAGCAGCACAGCTTCAGCATATTGGTTAATTGAATATTTGAGTCAATAAATATTTTACCTGATGGCTGGGAATGAGAAAATCAATATTTGACCGTTCTATCTGTCTTTACTTGGTAATTGTGTGGAGTGGCAGGAAAGAACTCAACCACATTGCCATATAGATGAGTCTGAATTAGAGAATCTTGGAGCATTGTTATCATCAAAGAGAGTGTGTGGTGTTTTGTTCATCCAAACTTTAGCAAATCTTGGCATGAGTCATATTCAAAGACTTGTCTTGACTTGATTATAGTGTCAGCTCTGATTAACTTCACGCAATTGGAAGTGTGTTCAGGATAAGGCTACCTCCCTGGCCCACTGTAATTGAAGTAAGGATGACACACACTTTATCTGTAAGCAATGGTGAAGGGTTTGGCCAAACCAGGAGTTTGAAGTAAACCACATTGGCATCAGTTCAAACCTGAATTCTAACATGTTACAGACTTGTTTTTATCTGTGGCTAGTTTGATTTATTCTTGAGCAAATAAAGTGGTGAAGAGCAAATCCCTTCAAGAACCAGGCTTGAAAGTGAGCTCATTGTTACATGGAATTGCAGTGCAACCTGAAAGATTTTCTTTCTGAGGCTTGACAGCCAGAAAGATTATTAATTGTATGACCAAGAGAATAATGAGCAAAAATTTCAAAGAGGAGTCCTGATGGTCTTGTGCATAACACACTCAAAACACATCTTTGAAATATTCCAACACACTAATCAGTGATTGTTAATGTATTTGCCAAAATGTACAAGTTTCCAAATGCACATTGTGAACAGTAACTGGTCACACCTCAGTGTAAATTCAGGGCTTAAATATTCCTACTCCTGAAACCATAGCCATCATAAAGCTGGGAAAAGAGGCAGCTGATGAAGGATACATGCCTCAATCTTTTGTGAGGTGCACAATTCCAGAATTGTGAAGGGAGCTCTTTGTTGGTATTTGCTTCTGTTTCTTCAATCATCGTTTTGTACGATCATTGCTCAATCTCTCTAAGCTTCCAGCTGCTGCAGACTAATGAAGCTCAAACCTGTAAGGTCCCATCTCTCTTAAAAACTACAATATGAAAGAAACATGTTTTAAAATATCGTCAGCACCGGTGAGTATTTTCAGTACAGCCAAGGTTGTGTTTGTTTATTCCATGTTGAAATTGCAGCAAGATGTCACCCAGGGGTTGTACAGAGAGTTGTGACATGTGGTTCCCTTATCATTGACTCTGGATTATTCCCGGATCTATGTGATGTCAGTTATTTTAAGCAACCTTGGAAATAAAGGACATGAAATCCTTTAAAAGTACCATGGTGACTGACTGACTGATTGTTCGAGACACCTTTAAAACTAGCTATAATTGAATAAAAACACATGCTAGCTGAAAGTAATATTTTTGCTATGCTTCAGAGATAAATTATTTTATGACTTGACGAAGCTTATTCTCAGCCTGTGTAAAGTAATCTGAATTCTACATTTGAAATGCTTCATTTTATTTATTTTCAATGTGGAACTTAACAAATGATTATCAGATCTGAGGAACTTCACCAGTCTTGAAATATTCCAGATGCATAACCCATGACCGGATTGTTTATATAAATGATGCTGCAGGTTAGAAACTATGACACTTAGGTCCTGGTTTGTTCAAGTTAAATGAAGAGGGGATCATGAGGGTCATGACTGGGCTATGGGGATAAGGAATGTTGTTCAGCCATGATCCTATTGAATGGTGGTGTAGGTTTGAGGGGCTGAATGGCCTACTCCTATTTTTTATGCCCTTATGGACTGCCTTGGTTTCCAGATTTGTGTTACTGTGTAAAATAATCAACAGCGCAGACTGATAACCGTGAGTAAACACCATGTGATAACTCAAGATTCTTGAAGTTATTTCAACTGGGTTTAATACGAGAAAACTGCAGTTATTCTACAGCAAATTCTAACATTGGATAATTTTGTTCTGTCACTTGCTTCAAGGGATATTTAGATGAGGATTGTATTACAAAGCAAGTTGATTCAGACCCATATTTGCATGTCATCTTGTTCCAATGCTGCAATGAGATGTGAACCTGGAGTCTGAGGAGGATTTCCTTCTTGAGAACGTAAATTATGTTTTTCAGTTGGTCCAAGTTTCTAAAAATGCTGGAGAAACTCAACAGGTCTGGCAGTGTTTGAGGAGACAGAAACAGAGTTAACATTTTGAGCGTGGGTATGACTCTTCTTCTGAACTGTTCTAGTCCTGAGCAAGGGTCAGCACTTCAAATACTCCAGACGACAGCTTATGCCATGGTAGAAATCTGCAAGGTTGCAATGAAAACCTCAAAGGATCACCATTGAAACAGTTCTTGACCAAATTAGGGTAACATTTAGGTGTTAACGAGTCATCAATGCAAAAGAGTTCTTGTGAGCAGAAACTATTTCACTTCTCATTCTAAATACAACTGCCTAAGGAGGAACAGGTGTCATTTGCAGTTCAACTGCTAACTATTTAAGACAACATTTGTTCACCATAGCTTCCCAGCTGCCAGAAGTATGAGAAATAAGCCATCACAGAGCAAAGTTTACACACGTTATCTAGTTTATGTTAAAAAGCATCAAATGTTGCAGTTTAGGCCTTAGACTCTGGATTTACACAATAATTCAACATTGGTGCAAAGCCAGACAATTTTGTACCAACTTGATGTTTTTTTGTGTAAATGCGGCATTATTTTAATGTGTATGCTTACAATTTCAAAATTGTAGCTTAGGTGTTGAGAGAGAAACCTCCTTTTGAACTGTGTTCTTACCAATACTGCTGCCTTAGAGCACCAGTGACCCGGGTTCAATTCCAGCCTCGGGCGACTGTCTGTGTGCAGTTTGCACATTCTCCCTGTGCCTGCGTGAGTTTCCTCCGGGTGCTCCGGTCTCCTCCCACAGTCCAAAGATGTGCAGGTTAGGTGGATTGGCCATGCTAAATTGCCCATAGTGTCGAGGGTAGAAAATTCAGGGATGGGGTAGGGGGTGGGCCTGGGTGGGATGCTCTTTGGACGGTCAGTGTGGACTCAATGAGCCGAATGGCCTGTTCCCACACTGTAGGGATTCTATGGTAGTGTCTGTGGAATTGTTAAGAACGGAATCTGCTTTGTTTAAAACCTGAATCTACAGTAGTCCTAGAGTACATATGGAGCATCGATGGGTTTTGCGATTCGTACAACATGCTACCAGTATAAAAATTAATTTCTTGGCCACCTAGTGGTAATAAGGTATAAAAATACAGTAATTTCTCCAGATCTGGAAATAAAATGAAGTGAAATGTCCGAATAGATTGAATTTCAGAATTAATGGTGAATCGTCTACAGAATTTCAGTTCACAAATTCACATTTATTTGCACAATGTAAAGAGTCCCTGTAGTTACAAAGTTGGATTGATGCATTTTTAATGATCTTGTGTCTCAAGCTGTAATAGAAATCTTAATTTACAAGATCTTCAAATAGTTGAAATGGGTATGTATGACGTTGTGTGACACACAGTAATACTTAATAATGAGAAGTTGATACAAGTTGCTAGTTCTGATTCCTGGTTTATGCTGACTTAGATTCATCCATTACATAGGAGAGGTGATGTAAGTACAAGTGACAATGTTCACATTGGAAATGGTCTCAGTTGAGAAGGTGAAAGAGATTTTCTGAGTATGAGTCTCCAATTGCTGAACACGCCCATGTGAGGATAAGGACATTAAGGATCCATGGTTCCTGCTGACTTCCAAAGAGCTAACACAGCTATAGCAGGCTGAATGGCCACCATCTGTGCTGTAAAATTCTAATTAGTGAGAACGTACAGAGTGAAAATTGGTAATTTGCCACAGCAAAAAGAGAAAGGAGCACAGCAATTGAGGGCCCATTAAAACAGGCTCTTACATGCACTTTACAAGTAGTCCCTGAGTGATACAAACCACATACTAATCATAAATTACCAGCCAACAATCGTCCAGGGTAGTAGACCGTGCTGGTAAGTGTTGTAAGTGATCATAGGGAAGGCGATCAAAAGAAGCAATTAAAAGATTTTAGAAGGTTTTTTTTAAGAAAAGCTGTCAAATACATCCTGCTTTGTGACCAGTTTAAAAATAAGTACTTGAGCTGTATCTATTTTCTGTAAATTACAATATTGTGTACCTTGAGAGCTGGTTATGGAAGATAAGGGGTTTGAAAAGGTGCCTACTAGAATGAATGTAACACCTAATACAGATCAGAGGTGCTCGCAGCTAAATTCACCGTTCAGCTGAGATGCTTTTGTGCATTTTAAAGTTTACCAACATTGATGTTTTATCCTCTGTAGAGAGATAAGAAACCAAATCTATTTGGGGCATATAGTCAAAATATTCAAAATCCTGGCTAAGAAATGTCACTGATAAATCCAAGCATCAGCTGGTTGATTCTGACAGACGAGTGAGAGGGGATTCACAATAAGACATAAATTGTTTGTGTGGATTGTAATGCGAGCTCTTTCTGATGACTGTTTCCCCTTCTACTGCAGGGAGCTCCAGGAGATCCCGGCATCTCAATCATTGGACCCCGTGGCCCTCCTGTGAGTCTGACTGTCTATCATTGATTGTGTTTTCACTGTGTGTTCAGGCATGATGTGATGGGGCAGGAAACAGTGGAATGTCTACCAGAGCAACCGTTGACTGTCAGTGGAAATTCAAACGTAGCCAATTCTTCCTGGCAGTAAAACCCTCTCATTGCATGCAATTGTGATTAAACTCTTTTCTTTTACTTATTCAATGGCTGTAACATAATTTCATTGAGTAAGAATTTTACTTTTACTTCCATGGGATTTGGGCATCTCTGGCTGGGCCAGCTTTTATTGCCCATCCCTTGCTGCCCCTTAAGATGGTGGGGGTGAGCTGCCTTCTTGAACCGCTGATGTCCATGTGCTGTAGATTGACCCCCAATGCCTTTAAGAAGTGAATCCCAGCATTTTTATCCAGCAACGCTAAAGGAATGGTGATATATTTCCAAATCAGGACGATGAGTGGTTGGAGGGGAACTTGCAGGGGACGGTGCTCCCATGTATCTGCTCTCCTTGTCCTTCGAGATAGAAGTGGCCTTGGGTATGCAAGGTGCTAGTGAATTGTTGCTGTGCATCTTATAGATGGCAGACTCTTCAGCTACTGTTCATTGGTGGAGGGAATGAACATTGAAGGTGGTGGATGGGATGTACATCAAACTGACTGCTTTGTCCTAGATAATGTCAAGCTTCATGTTAGAACAGCATTTATTCAGGCAAGTGGGGAGTGTTCCATCACATTCCTGATACATGTATTCTGGATAATGGACAGGTTTTGTGGAGTCAGGAGGTGAGTTACCTGCTGCAGGATTCCTAACCTCTGACCTGGTCTTGAGCCACAGTATTTATATGGCTGGTCCAGCTCAGATTTTGATCAATGGGCTTTTGGTAACCATTGCAGTCTGAAAGATTTCAGAATAATCAAGATGCCTACTGGTATGACAGAAACATCAAGATGTAATTGAGTCTAATCTTTTCAAATCCTCCTTAATTATTTTTCATTGTGCCTTCCTTAAAGGAACTTGGTTAAAATCCTGGAAACTCCTTCCTAACAAACAGCGGGTGTCCCAACATGACATGAACTGCAGTGGTTCAAGAAGACATCTCGCCAGCTTCTCATGGGTGGTCAGTGGTGGTCAATAAATGCTGGCCTAGTCTGTAAAATGCAATAGAAAATAGACAGAAAAGGTGTTTCTAGTTTAGAGGTTGGCCAGAACTAACAGCCAAAATAGAATGATAGTCACTAATAAATCCAATTGGGAATTTGTGAAAAACACTTTACTCAGCAAGTGAGGAGAATGGGAAAGTTGCTATCTCAACAAGTTGTTAAGGCAAATAGTCGAAATACGGTTACATGAATCCAGATGAATATGTGAGGGTGAAATGAGTAGAACAATGTACTTATAGGGTTAAATAAAGAAGGGTGGGGAAGAGGTCAAATGGAGCAGGCACCGACATGGATCAGATGGGCTGAATAGCCTGTTTCTGTTCTGTAAATTGCTCAGTTTGTTCCCCCGTCCCTAACTCTGTTAACCTCCTCCATCCTGACAACCCTTCCTGTTGCTGTAACCTCTGCAGCCCCTACAACCCTCTGAATCTCTGTGACCTCCTTCATCTCTACGATTACCTGAGAGTTCTGTGATCTTTCTTTCACCTCTTGCAATCTTTTACATCATTCAATTGTTAGCAACCATGCCTTCCAGTGCCCAATCCTTAAACCTCTTTTCCAATGTACCCCTTTCTCTTTCCTTGAGATGCTTCATAAATCTGTTACTTTGACCACTGCCCTAATGTGGCTATGTCAAATGTTGTTGGTAATTTTCATGAAAGACCTTGGTATGTTTTACAACATTAGTCACGCTATATAAATGCGAGTTATTGATGATGCAGAGAAGGAGAGAATATTACTCTTCAATAAATCCTGTCAAATCTCTTTTGATGAAAGTTTTTAACATTATTGTATATGGTCAGAGAAAGAATGCAGCGTTTTGTGCCATAGATTTCAAATGTTATACATTTGTCACGTGTAAAAATAAATTTAATTTGCTACCCTTGCTCAGAAGAACTATAAAAAATTAGATTGCATAAGCAAAACGATTTGGGAGTTTATTTGCTCCCAGAAATTAACTGCAGCAAACAAGGAGGTTAGTTTATAAAGTATTCATTGCTGTTTCATCCTCACCTATACTTATTTTATTAAAATTAATGGACAAAGGAATTTGTAGTTCTTAGCTCTTAGGCCTATAACTTGCACCACATCAAATGAAACCAACATTACTGGAAATCTTTATTTCAAGTTAACTTTTGAACCAACCTTTTGAAATTGCAAATGCTTGACAGTCATACTTAATTTCTTTGTGACAATACATTAGCCATCTGTCTGACTGGTGGATGTGAAATTCCACACACCCTCAAAGTTTCTACCTAATAACATTTGCACAAATATCTTGGTGGATTTTATTGCAAAGGAAGTACCTCAAACCTACACGGTTTGAAATGATTTACAGTTTATTTCCCCCTATTAGATACATGTGTATGTTATGTTGTGTATATATCTTTCTCATACTCCCATCAGCTTTTCCATTAAAAATGCCTTTGTCCACATTATCTGCGTAAACTTATCACAATGTGTCCTTCTGTCAGTGATGGCCCCATGAAGCTATAACCTTTCAGCCAATATCCCAGAACAACTCCTACATTGCAACTAAATCTACTTCCCAATTACCACAGATTTTGTTAAAAGTATTTTCTAATAATGAGAACAAATTTCAGAATGGGAGCTGAACTATCTCTGTATACTTTATTTCAATTATACCCTATCCTTCAATCCCCTTAACTTGTGCAACAAATCACAGGAGATACAACATATGAAAATATACATTGGAGAATAAATGTTTGCAATGCATTCAATATAAAATATATATAAATAGATTAGAGGCAAGATTAGAAAATTAAGGAATTACTTAGGTTCAAGTAAAAGAAAACGGTAAAAAGTGTATTTACAAAAATGGCGAGCGGTGTTCATTTAATTTTTTTTTCTTCTTTAAAATATGCAGATTTATCCAAAGTAATCAAATTTGGAGGAATTCAGTTAACCTGATCTTGAATATATGACAATTTATGAGATGAAAATGTACAGAATGAGTGTGTGATTGGGAACCCTTTTATTGTAAAGAAATGATGTGTAAATTGTAAATGCATTGCCACCTTTAATGAAGCAGTTGATAATAAAAAGCTGGACTGTACTTGATTTGTACTCAGGTTCTCCTTAAACCAAAAGAGCTCAGTGAATATTGCTGTGCTTTTGAAGTAATTGCTAAGAGTGGACATGTCAATGTGCCAGAAAAGGCATCATCCTTTTTACAGACGAGAGGAAAGGATTTCATTTCTTTGATGTGCTATTTCCGGTTTGAAAATGTCATAAAGAATTGATTTATTTGTGGTGTTTTTCATTCTTGTTGAGCTGAAGTCAGGACTGAAGAAATGTGACAACATAGTTTGACCATCTGGTTTTGCAGTTAGCCATCAGAGGCAGCGTGATAAACCCTTACTAATGAGGAACAGCTTGAAATCCAGTTACTTGCTCTTGCCTTTTGCATTTGACAAATAACAAACAAGTAACAGGAGCTCCAGTCTTCAAAGGAAAGTGTTTTTTACTTCAGCAGGTTTAATTATAATAAATTTAGTTGTCTTCAGATATCATGGTGTAGCTGGAAAGAGTTGGTTACACAGCAAACCAGTCATCTGCAGAAACCACTACTTGAAGAATGTGCCTGTCATACAATATCCCATCTTTAGGGCATTTTGAAAAACCACTTCAATATTTTTAATCCTATATGATTACTTGACATCCCAGTTAAAATGGGAGTAACTTATTAATCCGTGTAAATACTTCAAAAGCCAGGATTTGGCTCACTCTCTTGTTAGTAATTTGAAAACATGCTACAACGATTAGATTTCACAGGATTCTGAACAGTATGTCGCAATTATAATGCTATACATGCAGCAATGAACACCAGTAGTGAAACTGCAGCTTCACTTAATTATACTGTCACACTAATGCCTGCTGTGACTTTGTACGGATCAGCTTTTGAGCAGTAAGGAGCACAAAGGCTTTACTGAATGCTGGTGTGATGGCAAGACAGTGCCATTTTTTTATTTGTTCATAGGATCTGTGTGTGCTGCTGGCTAGGTCAGTATTTATTGCTGTTCCTGACTCTAGTTCAAAGATGTGTAGGTTAGGGTGGATTGGCTGTGCCAAATTGCCCCTAGTGTACAGGGACGTGCAGGTGTTGGGCTACCCATGGGAAATGTAAGGTTACAGGGATAGGGTAAGGAGGTGGGTTTGGGTGGGATGCTCTTTGGAAGGTCAGTGTGAGCTCGATGGGCTGAATGGCCTGCTTCCACACTGTAGGGATTCTATGAGAACAGTTAACAATCAAACCACCTCTGGAGCCACATGCAGATCAGACTGCAGGTGTCCTTCCCTAAAGGGTAATAGTGAACCAGAGTCTACGGTGGGCAATTGGTACATGGTCACCATTAGACTCACTTTCATGTCTCACCAAGTGCCATGGAGAGATTTGAACCTATGTCTCCAGAACATTAGCCTGTGGTTCTGGATTACTTGTCCAGTGATATTACCATTACACAACCATCTCGTACCTGGGGTTGCGAGCACAAATCCAGCCAATATTTCTAGTGCTGCTGGCTATAGGGCTGCCACCAGCACATGGCCTAGGCTGAACAGTGTAGTGATGCTGCTCCTCACTGAATCATTTGCCAATAGGCTGATCTATGCTTGTAGATTTAGGTCTCATTGATGAGAGGTGCAGATGTGATAGTTTGATGTGAAAAAAATAACACTTTGAGAATCACAAAGAATTTCTGTACATCTTCCGAATGTACTTGACTTCCTTTCCAGCTGATGATAGATCTCTGACATGTCTCTCTGCACATATGGAAATAATGTTAAGTTTTGAAAAAGACAACCAAAAAAAGGGAGAAATAAATTTTGAAGATAAACTTGCAAGTAATATCAAGTTGGACTGCAAGAGCTTCTTTAAATATACAAAAAGGAAAAGAAAAGCCAAAGCGAACATCGACCCCTTAGAGAACAAGGTTGGGGAAGTAATAAGGGAGAACCAGGAAATGACAGTGAAGTTGATTAAATACTTTGTATCAATCTTCATGGTAGAAAACATTAATTGTCTTTCAAAAGTGCTAAATAATCAAGGAGCAAAAGGAGGAGAGGAAATAAATACAATAGCTATCACTAGAGAAAAATTGCTAGAGAAACAAATAGAAACTATCAGACCTTGGACCTGATTTGATGCATCCTAGGATATTAAAGGATTAGCAGCAGAGACAGTGGATGCACTGGGTTGAAATCTTCCAGGAATCCTTGGATTCTGGATGAGTCCAAGAGGATTAGAAAGCTAACAATGTAGAATTTTTATTTAAAAGGGGAAACAAAACTAAAAACAGGTCATTATAGGCCAGTTAGCTCAATGTTTGTCATTGGGAAAATATTAGAAACTATTAGAAAGGACATAATCAGAGTGTGAGGAATACATATGATCAGACAGAGTCAGCATGGCTTCATGAAAGGGAAATCATGCCTGACAAATTTACTCTTTGAGCAGGTAATGAGCAGGATAGATAAAGGGGAAGCAGTGGATATGATATATTTGGATCTTCAGAAGGCTTTCGATAAGGTTCCATATGTTGGGCTACTTAATAAGAGCCCATGGTGTCAGAGATGGTATTCTAGCACAGATATTGGCTAATTAGTAGGAGACAAAGTTGGGATAAAAGGGAAATATTCATAATGACAACATATTACTGGGGGTGTGTCATAAGCATCAGTGCTGGGGCCACAATATTTACAATGTACATTATTGAGTTAGATGAGGAAAGTGAATGTATATAGCCAAGTTTGCAGATCACAAAAAAAGATGAGAAGGTAAGTGTTGATGAGGATGGCACCCAGAATCTGCAGAAGTATATAGACAGGTTAAATGCGAGTGCAAAAACTTGTCAGATGGAATCTAATGTGAGAAAATGAGAGGTTCTGCACTTTGGCGGAAGCACAGAGAAGCTGAATGTTTAATCGGAGAAAGTCTGCAGAAAGCTGTGGGTCGAGTGATGTGGAGCCCAATCCCATGAATCATAAAAAGCTAAAGTTTAGGTTCAGCAGGTCTTCACAAAGGCAAATGACATGTTGGCCTTTATTTCAAAGGGAATGGAATATAAAAGTAGGGAGATTGTGCTAAAACTGTACTCACTGGAGTTTAGAAGGATAAGTGGAGACCTTAGTGAAACATACAAGATTCTTCAGGAACTTTACAGGGTCAATGTGGAGAGGTTGTTTCCCCTTTGTGGGAGAATCTAGAACCAGAGGGCATCATCTCAGAATAAGCTATGGCACTTTACCGACTGTAAGGTGGCAATGGGTGTTCTACTACAATAAAGAAGCCAAAAAAAATAAGTTGTTGTCGTTGAAAAAATAAAAAATGAGTTGTACCACGTTAAATGATGTCCGTCCATTCCCATTATTTGTAATTTTTTTCTGTAATATTTGGTTGAAAATGGTATTAAGTGCAGGTGCTCCAGGTTTAAGTGACTAAAAGTGTGCTGTTTCAGTTGATTGGGAAGGTAGAGAGTAAAGGAGAGGCTTTGGATTGATTCCCTGGTCAGGAATGATTCCAACAGACTTGATGCTCCTGTTTCTCTGTTCTCTTTCCTTGCCTAATGAATTGCTTCAACTTGACATGAAAACTCAGGTAATCCAACAAAAAGTGTGCAGTGTCTGCTGTACTGCCAGTCTGTTGAATTTTCAGTTATCTTCCTAATTAGTCTTTTATACTTCAAAGAGTTCATAATTGAGTATTGTAGGACAATGAGTCAATGAGTTTATATTCAGCAGCTGAGCTACGTATACGTTCATGCAGTGATGGTGAGGAGGGCTTTTGACATGAGCTCACAGCAATGTGCGCAAAGCTGAAAATACTATTGTCTAGTGTGAAATCTCTGGCACAGTTACACATTTTGCCATCTTTCTGCTGCTTTATGTAGAACACACTATGTCTGCTTTTTAGAAAGCATCCTTTGATTGTGCAGAATGTGAGTATTGTTGAAAACAGACACTTTTTGTCAAAGCTTTTTGTCTTCCACTCATCAGGACACTTTGCAAGAATGCAAATTCGAGCGGAAACAAAATTTATATTGTATAAGAGGACAGTGCTGATTGGTTGCCAAGTGGATTCTGATTGATAAGACTGTTGCTGTATCAATCAGTGATGACTGACTGGTGCCTAACGAGTGGGAGATGAAAAACTTCGCCAAACTGCCTTTATCACCAATTTTCTAAGGAAGTGTTCTTGTTTGTTTTTTTTCAAACAGTTGTAAGTTGCGTAAATTCTATAAATGTTTTAGAAAAAGTTGAGAAATATTTCACGAACACAACATAACATCTTGTTTAGTACTGCAATATGTAACAAATACAACATAAGGAACTGGATTAACATTTTTTCCTCCCCTTGTGTTTTTATCTTCAATCTAGGGTCAGCCTGGAGCAAGAGGGTTTCCAGGATATCCGGTGTGTTGATGTTTAAGAAACATTTACTTGGAATTTTGATTGTTAATCATCCAGTCATCTTTGAGTAGTTACTTACAATAACCTGATTACCTTAGTTTATTTTTTAAAAATAGACAGACTTTCATGAATGAATGGCCATGCTGAGAGCAATTATCAAATTATTGATGCTGCTGCTGGTGTTTATTTGAGTTACAAGTTCCCAAGTGATCCAAGCTGTTCATCAATTGTTCATACTGTTTGATCATTGCATTGATGTTGCTATAAACTCAGAAGCTTGCTCACGACACTTACATTTCCTTGTGTTCTGAGTTCCGTCCTAATCAACTTCATTATGCATCTACACTAGACGCTGTGCAAGAAATGTCCTTATTTAACACTGCCGTGAAGCACGTTGGGATATTTCTACTGTGGTGAAGGCACTATATAAATGAAAGTTGCTATTGTTAAAAATCATCCCTTTTATTAGCTGTGTATGGGGACAGTGTGCAGCATTGAGATACAAGGAGATGGCTTGACTCTGCTCAGGTAACACGGTAGAGAGTGGACCCGGCTGTGAATCTGCTGCTTCATTAGTATCCAGCCCACCCTCCTCCCTGTCAGCAATGTAAATTGGTCAAAATATACATGCATTACATCAGACTTCAACAAAAAACAAATAATTATAAAGTGCTGATATTTTTGAGTGTGTTTGCATTTATGCCTTTGAAAGGGCAAACTTTTTTTTAATGCCACAATGAAATAGACGTTATTAATTTAACTAGATCTTAGTGATGGTTGTCAAATGGGGTCAATCTCTACAGTGCCTTTACACCTCCCTCAGAAATGTCCCAAAACTCTTCACATGCAATGAGTTAATTTGGTGTGCTGCAGTGATTCTTTTGTTATGCCATCAAGAAGCAGCAATGATTTTGAGCTTATAACGAGGTAAATGAATAGATTTTTACTTTTGAGGCTAGTCTTGAGGAATGGAGAAAAAAAGATCGGTTTCAGGCTGTTCGACTCGACCCCATTGGCTGACAATGAAACCGCATTCATTAAGTTCATTTGTGAAATCTGGTTATAATTAATAACACTTGCTGGGATTGTTCAGAAGTGCACAAACTCTTCTTAAATGAAAGTTCCCCGAATTGTCTCTGTTGTAAATATTCTTTGATTCATATTATCTTGAATAAAGAGCAAAGCAACAAGAAATATAATTTTTTCTAAAATTTAATGTAATTCTAGGAATAGGAAGAAACAGAGTAAAGTATGGTAGTAAATAGGCTAATATTAAAGAATCTTAAGCACATGAATATATACATATATATATCCATGACATTTAAGAGTTGAGTGTGAAGTTCATCTCATGTTGAAGCATCAATAACAAGGAAGGCATAATTTTAAGCTGAAGAGTTTAGGTTTAGAGGGGATTTGAAAAAAAACATTTTTGCATTCAGAAAGTGAGGTGATGGTGATGACAGTAGAAGCAGGAAACCTCACAACCTGTAAAATGGACAGAGATGAGCATTTGAAAATGTCATAACATTCAAAGCTATGAACCAAGAGTTGGAAAGTGAGATGAGTGAAGGCAGGTTGGCACAGACATGATAGGCCAAAGGGCTTCTTCTTAGCTGTATGACTTAGAACATAGACCAGTACAGCACAGTACAGGCCCTTCGGCTCTCGATGTTGTGCCGAATTTTTACCCTAAACCTAAGGTCTATCTAACCTCCACCCCTACCTTATACTATCATCCATATGCCTATCTAATAGCCGCTTAAATGCCCCTAATGAGGCCGACTCCACTACCCGCTCCGGCAATGCATTCCACGCCCCGACCACTCTCTAAGTAAAGAACCTACCTCTGATGTCTCCCCTATATCTACCTCCACTCACTTTAAAACTATGCCCCCTTGTAATAGCTACCTCCATCCTAGGAAAAAGTCTCTGGCTGTCTACTCTATCTATACCTCTGATCGTTTTGTACATGTCTATCAAGTCACCTCTCATCTGTCATCGTTCTAAAGAGAAAATCCCTAGCTCTCTCAACCTTTCCTCATAAGACCTTCCCTCCATTCCAGGCAACATCCTGGAAAATCTTCTCTGCACCTTTTCCAACACTTCCATATCTTTCCTGTAATGAGGCAACCAGAACTGGACACAATGCTCCGGACGTGGCCGAACCAGGCTTTTGTATAGCTGGAGCATAACTTCACGGCTCTTGAACTCAATCCCTCTATTAATGAAAGCTAACACACCATACGCCTTCTTAACAACTCTATCCACCTGGGTGGCAGCTTTCAGTGAACTGTGGACATGAACCCTGAGATCCCTCTGCTCCTCCACAATGCCAAGAATCTTTCCGTTAACCCTGTATTCTGCTTTCAAATTTGTCCTTCCAAAATGAATCACCTGTCACTTTTCAGGGTTAAACTCCATCTGCCACTTCTCAGCCCAGCTCTGCATCCTATCCATGTCCCTTTGTAACCTAGAACAGCCCTCCGCACTGTCCACAACTCGACCCCACCTTCGTATCATCTGCGAACTTACTAATCCACCCTTCCACTCCTACATCCAAATCATTTACAAAAATCACAAATAGAAGACAACCCAGAACAGATCCTTGTGGTACACCACTCGTAACTGAGCACCATGTTGAATATTTTCTGTCCACTACCACCCTTTGTCTTCTAAGGGTCAGCCAATTCTGAATCCAATCTGCCACATTTCTCCCTGTCCCATGCCTCCTTACTTTCTGCGTTAGCCTACCATGGGGAACCTTATCAAATGCCTTACTTAAATCCATGTATACCACATCCACTGCTCTACCTTCATCCACGTGTTTGGTCACCTGTTCAAAGAATTCAATAAGGTTTGCGAGGCATGATCTATCCCTCACAAATCCATACTGACTATCACAAATCAAACTGTGCCTATCCAAGTGATCATAAATCCTATCTCTCAGAGCCCTTTCCAATAATTTGCCCACCACTGACGTAAGACTAACTGGCCTGTAATTTCTGGAGTTATCCCTTTCTCTTTTTTTGAACAAGGGAATGACGTTTGCCTCTCTCCAATCTTCCGGCACTATGCCTGTGAACAGTGAGGACGAAAAGATCATCGCCAAAGGCCCTGCGATCTCTTCCCTCGTTTCCCATAGAATCCTTGGATAAATCCCATCAGGCCTGGGGGACTTATCTATCTTCAAGACTTGACGACTCTATCTCAGACTTCGGGAAAGGGTGAATGACGAATAAGTGGATCTGTACTCAATCAAAAAGGGAGGAGCTTACTGGTTCTCGGCTCTACGCTTTTCTGCTTGTTCAGACAAATAACACTCAACATTTGTGAATTTATGAAAAATTTGAACTGTGTGTTGGGATAAATCATTGAGAACATATCTTTACTATAGTGTTGTTATCTCACTGGACTGGATTGCAGTTCTGCATTAATAATGAACGGTTCGCTGCATAGATGGTTCGGGACAGCTTGTAAATCTTAGCCACTTGAGCTGGAGATGTGAATGAAACTTAAAGCCAGCATCTGAATCCTGATTTAGCTGCAGCCCAGACCCTGCAGCACACATGTATGTAACTATTTATATAAACCATGCATCCAACAAATGGCTAATCAAAGCGTAAGCAAGGGGATTAGTGAGGAAATAACGCGGTTTCCAAATGAACATCCTAGACATGCAGCAGGTGTAAGTGAGCAGTGAGTTGCACAGTTGAATATCATATAAGAATTCTGGGTGCACCTTGGAACATCCATTTCTTGAAGTCATTTATAAAGAGGTTTTGTATATGCCACTGAATTACATTTACGCCATCAGGGATGCACAGCACTCCAAATATCTGCTCCTGTACATTTAATTTTACTCACATCTTCTTTGAAGGATTAAATAAGCAGGGATTGAGTGTGATTAAGTGCCTGAGCTTGCACCAAACTGGGAAAATGATACTTTTTAACAGTGCATATTGTCAAAACTGATTTTACCATTTAACATATTGATCTCTTGCTCGCTGTGTTTTGCTCAGTTTCCCAAGCTGCTTTTGTATGTGTTTCTATTGATGGTGAACATATTGAATCAATATAACTGGGCAGGTTTGAGCGTGCTTTACACACTGCACTACCAGCTGATGGGAGCCATTTGAAACTGCACCTTAACAAAACTACTGGTTATTAAACAAGTCTGTAACGGAGCATTGTTGGTCTCTGATCTCTGCTTTCGGTGTTTGTGCCACTAACTATTTCATTGCTGACTTTTCATTTAACTTTTCACTGAATGAACTCATTGTCATGTTGATGTTTAAATCTTTTCACTGTTGAACATCATTTTCTATTCAAATGATTTTTCTTAATGACCTAATATTGTTCATTCATATTTTTATATTCATCAATATTTATTTTCAAGGGCCCGATAGGGTTGGATGGAAAATCCGTAAGTATTTTATGCAATTTTTAAAATTTTTTGCTGTAGGATAATGTAGCAATTACATACACCTCCTTCCCAAAGTACCTCAACATATTTATTGTCCATTAATAAAAACAGAAAGTGCTGGAGAAAACAGCAGGACCACAGATGCTGCTTTCTGTTTTTCTATTTCTGTTTCAGATTTTCAACATCCAAAGTATTTGGCTTTTATTTTGTTCTCCATTATTTGTTTTCACAATGGAGTGACTTGTTACACCTCTTCAGAGGGAACTAAGGAAGTAAAATTGATCTTGGGCCATTGTGCAAATTGTTCAAAGGTACAATTATAATAACGTTCTATATAATCATGTAACATTGTGTCATAACTGGAACTAGGTTTGCACCCCACCTCATTTCCAGCTCCTTTTTGCACTACAACCCTCAGAGTGAACTGCATAATGTGGGTTGGTAGATATGTTTTCAGAGGGCGTCACACTGGTAAAACCAGTTGGGTTTTGCGTTTTTTTTTGTCAATCTCACAACCTGCCATGGTCGTACTTGAACTGTATTGTTAATCCACTACATGGCTTGATGTGATCAAAATGCCTTCTGTCTGAAATTCTCACACTGTCAGTACTCTGATCTTTGGACTAAGGCATACCACCATGAGCCCTTATCTTTGGATGAACATGACCAATGAGATCAGAATAACAGCCGTTATGTATCTGTTAACACCAAAGAAAATCCGATGGGCAGCAAAACCAAAATCAGTAAGGGTGGAAAATCCACCTGAGGTCTGACCTGGTTGAATTTAGAATTATTTGGTGTCTTGATTGGTTAAATGAGTTATTCTCCTTTTTCAATTTTTATTTGGTGACATGGCATAGCCAATATGTGATTGTGGGTGATATAATCTGTAAAATTTAATGATGCAAAAAGTTGAACAAGCAACATTTCTTTGTCTATGTTTAGAAGTCCAAGTTTCACAGCATATTATGGGGTGGAGCAGAAAAGCAGGAATGGAAATAAATACCTGTGCAAAATAAATATTACATCCATCGACTGTGGTTTACAATTACATTTCTTTCATTTCAGGGAAAACCTGGCCCTAAAGGTGACATGGTAAGATTGGAAGCAAAAATGTGCATTTAAAATAAAAATCCAAGTGATGGGCCAAAGGACCTTGGAGTGACAGATGGAGATTAATTTAGATAAATGTGAGGTGCTGCGTCTTGGAAAGGCAAATCAGGGCAGGAATTATATACTTAATGATAAGGTTTGGGGATATTGCAGAACAAAGAGACCTTGGAGTGCAGGTTGATAGTACCTTGAAAGTGAAGTTGCAGGTAGATAGGGTAGTGAAGAAGGCATTTAGTATGCTTGCCTTTATTGGACTGTGCATTGAGTATAGGAGTTGGGAGGTCATGTTGCTGGTGTACAGGACATGGGTTAGGCCACCTTTGGAATACTACTTGCAATTCTGGTCTCCCTGCAATAGGAAAGATGTCGTGAAACTTGAAAAGGTTCAGAAACGATTTACAAGGACGTTGCCAGGGTTGGAGGGTTTAAGCTTTGGGAGAGGTTGAATAAGCTGGGGCTATTTTCCCTGGAGTGTCAAAGGCTGAGGGTCGACCTTATAGATGCTCATAAAATCATGAGGGGCATGGATAGGACAAATAGACAAGGTCTTTCCCTGGGGTGGGGGAATCCAAAACTAGAGGGCATAGGTTTAAGGTGAAAGAGGAAAGATTTAAAAGGGACCTAAGGGGCAACTTTTTCATACAGAGGGTGGTGCGTGTATTGATTGGGCTATCAAAGGAAATTGCTGAGGCTGGCACAATTGCAACATTTGAAAGGCATCTGGATTTGTATATGAATGGGAAGGGTTTAGAGGGATATGGACCAAATGCTGGCAAATGGGACTAGATTTATCTAGGATATCTGGTTGGCATGGATGAGTGGGACCGAAGGGTCTGTTTCCATGATGTACATCTCTGTGACTCTACTGCGAATCGACCTCAGGGCCATTAGCATCTGACAGATAACATAGGTTAATGTATTGATACAGACTGAATAAACATCATTGCAATGTATGTCCATCATTTACTACTTGTGATTTCTAGACAGGCTAGTTTTGCTTTAAATAAAAACACATGACATTTAAGTAAATATTGAAATTGAGTATTGTTAGAAAAGACACATTTCACATCAAAACTTTTCATTTTGTATTCATCAGGACATTTCATAAGAATACCAACTCAAGGAGAAAACTGTTGGTTGAATGTTGGTTTTCCCCTTGATCCCTGAGACATCTCCCCATCCTTCCTTCTGTGCCATCTGCCTGGCAGAGCCCAGACCTTCACCCCGCTCCTGTTCACCACCCCATCCGGGCTATAAGACCCCTTCCCCCAGCTCTAGAAACCCATGACTGACCTTTCCGAGGGAGAGCTGTGCTCTTGCTTGCACCCATTCCCGCAATCCAGGCTGCAGCTATTCCCAAGGGGTGGCGCTCCTGAGTGTGATGGAGCTGCCAGACGATCAGATTGGTCAGCCACTCTGAGTGAGGGGTGGAGTCCCATTGTTTGTCAATTGAATGCAACTCAGGCCTGGGGACAAGGACCTCACTGAAACACAGAAAATTCTTACAGGGACTTGTCAGGGTCAATGTGGAGAAGTCGTTTCCCTTTGTTGGAGAGTCTAGGACCAGACAGTGTCATCTCAGAGTAATGACATGAGGAGGAAGTCCTTCATTGGGTAGTGAACCTGTGGCATTCTTTACCACAGAGGGACGTTGAAGCTGATTCATTAAGCATATGCAAGGCTGAGAGATTTTTAATCAGTAATTGAATCAAGGCTAATAGGGAAAAGGCAGGAAAGTGGAGTTGAGGATTATCAGATTAGCCATATATGATAACTCCACAGAGGCCAGTATCCCATCACAAAGTGACCCTTTATTTACACATGAACCGTCCTTAACTTTAGTACAGCCTCATTCAGAGTCAGGTATCTTTGACGATCCCGTTTTTTATATGTCAGCCAGGGCTCCCTGTTCAGAATAAATTAACAGCCCCAGGTGGAACTCATATTCTTTGAAGTCCACCTGACTGACCTCATTACAATCCCTGCACCGTGATCTCATTGAATGGAGGAACAGGCGCAATGGACTGAATGCCTGTTCCTTGTTTCCAAAGACTTATGGCAGTTTCCATTCCCCACCCCTGCTCCAACACCCCCACCCACCTCACCCCGCCCTCTTCATCCCTCCCCCCAATCCCCATGTTATTTTTGTAGCAAAATTTCCAGTTGCCCCATTTCTCCCAAATGGTAGTGTTTGGTTATCAGTAACACCCAGGATTTCACTTCAGCACATTCTATGTAAAAATACACTGCATTATTTGGATTAAAATTCCACAAGACCATTCTTTGCCAGCTCTGACATTTGTTTTTTTGTTGTTGTTCTTACACAGGGGGTACCCGGCCCGAAAGGTGACAAGGTGAGTGTGCCCTTACAGAACAAAACCCTCTACAAACTAATCAGCTTCATGACTGCACAGACTGTGGGTGTATTCCTGAATTGTTATCTAACTGTTCCTATTCATTTCTAAAGGGAGACCAGGGGCATAAAGGAGAGAAGGTAAGTTGTAAATTCTAAATTAAACCTTTATTGAATAATGAATTAGAAAAGTAGAAATAAGAGCAGCAGTAGGCCATTCAGCCCATCAAGTCCACACCGCCTTACAACATGATCATGGGTGATTCTCTTTTTCTTAATTCCTTCATCAAATATGGGCATCACTGGATAAACTAACGTTTACTGCCCATTCCCAATTACCTAGAGGACAGTTAAGAATCAACCACATTGCTGTGGGTCTGGAGTCACACATAGACCAGTCTGGATAAGCTTGACAGATTTTCTTGCCTAATTATTAACAGTGTGCCAATTTATGTCTCCATATTTAAGGAAGGATGTGAAGATATTGGAGTTCAGAGAAGATTTACTAGACTGATTCCTGGAATGAAGGGTTGATCCTATGAGGAAAGGTTGGACAGACTGCACTTGTATTTGCTGGAGCTTAACAGAGTGAGGGGTGACTGGATTGAAGTGTGCAAGATCCTGACTAGTCTTGACAAGGTGGATGTGGAAAGGTTTCCTCTTATGGGTCAGCCCAGAACTTAGGAAGTACCTTTCTTAAAATTAGGGATCAGCCTTTTAGGATAGAGATGGGAGAATTTTTTTTCTGTCCGAGTTGTACTACTTTGGAAGTCTCTGCCTCAGAAGGCAGGAGGTGGGATCGTTGAACACGTTTGGGCAGATGTGGAGCAATTCTTGCTGGGGAGGAGAATCAAAGGCTATCGGTGTCGATGGGAATGTGGAATTTGGAACAAGCAGATCAATCATGTTCTTATTGAATTGCGGAGCAGATTCTGGGCTCTGAATGGCCTACTACTATTTCAAAACTTTGTATATTTGCTCATATGCAAGCTTTCGGTTTCAGCAGCCACAGTGAAGGTGGACCACAGCAGTCTTTAAATATAGACTGAAACTTTGAAGGCAACTCGTTAGAGAAATCTGAGTTGAGTTGGATGACTAAGCCAAGGCACAGACGGCAGGGACATTGAATGTATCCATGTGTCACCGCAGGGACATTGATTATCCAATCTCTTCCCCTGGCAAAATCTGGGTTTTTGTAAAATTCATTTTCTTTTCCCAGAATACCCCAACTTGAAAATAAATCGTACTTTTTAAAATGGACTTGCAAGTGTAACTCATGGAATTAATGGGACAACTGAGCAGTTCTTGGAAAATCATGGGAAGCTGCCTGGGGAAAGGGACAATAGAGAGGGCTTTGATTAACGTAGCACCTTTTGAATTATGTTAATTGTATTTGAGGTTATCATTGGTTTTCCAGGATAGCTATGCATATGCACACAACAAAATTCTACAGTTATCAATGAATTGGATGAGTAGTGAATGTACCTTTTGGACATGACAGTTGAAGCACAAATATTGGTCAAGACACCACAGGAGGAAGAATCCTGTTTTGTTCCAAATTGTTTCATTCTAATCCAAACAGTTTCTCTTTATTTACTCTGTACAACCATTTATAATTATGAACATCATTATCAAACACCCCTTAACCTTCTCAGTTCTATGGTGATCCTCACCATTATGTAAATATATACATATATGTTATCTATAGCATGACTTATGTATGTATCGAGAAGTTGATGCAATCAGAATGACTGAGAAAAGATGTTTTGCATTGGAACTCTGCACTAGCATTGACTCCAATACATTTACCTGGTCCTGAATCTATTCATTGAAACCTCAGTCATAGAGCTGTACAGCAAGGAAACAGACCCTTTGGTCCAGCTTGTCCATGCAATCAGATATCCTAAACTGATCTGGACACATTTGCCAGCATTTGGCCAATATCCCTCTAAACCCTTCCTATTCATATACCCATCCAGATGCTTTTTAAATGTTGTAATTGTACCAGCCTCCACCACTTCCTCTGGCAGCTCATTTTAAACATGCACCATCCTCTGTGTGAAAAAGTTGTCCCCTAGGTCCCTTTTAAATCTTTCCCCTCTCACCTTAAACCTATGCCCTCTAGTTTTGGGTTGCCCTACCCTGGGGAAAAGACCTTGGCGCTTCACCCTACATATGCCCTTCATGATTTTATAAACCTTTTTAAGATCACCCCTCAGCCTCTGACACACCAGGAAAAATAACCTCAGCCTATTCAGCCTCTCGCTTTAGGTCAGACCCTTCAAACCTGGCAATATCCTTGTAAATCTTTTCTGAACCCTTTCAAGTTTCTCAACATCTTTGTATAGCAGGGAGACCAGAACTGAACACAGTAATCCACAAGAGACCTAACCAATGTCCTGTACAGCCACAACATGACCCCCCAACTCCTAATCTCAATGCACTGGCCAATAAAGGCAAGCATGCCAGACACCTTCTTCATTCCCCTGTCTACCTGTGTTTCCACCTTCACAGAACTATGAACCTGCACCCCAAGGTCTCTTTAAAATCTATTTAATGTTATTCTATTTATCATTGGTTATTGTGAGTAGCTGATATATACCTTTCTTGCCCGTCTTGACATTTCTTGTCTGGTTGTACAGAACTTCCACATTGTTGAATGGAGACAGGAAGTTAACTTTACATCTTGAACTCCTGAAATGGTGTCCCTTTTATTGCGTCTGTTTCTTGTTTCTTACTCTGAGTGCGAGACAAACACTTCCAACTTCGTTTCTTCTTTCAGCGATGTTTCTTGTCACTCCTAATGCAAAAATGATTTTAAAAGTTATGATTTCAGAAAACATTATGTGTATGGCCAATTTTCTTATTTATCACTGTTAATAAGCATTTGACTGTTTACATTGTGACACCTCGTCTTAACTTTTTTAAAGAGAATATCTGCTTTGTTTTGGTAAATAACTACAGCATTTTAACACCACACGTTGTGTTTATTGTACAGGGACTGAATGGTCCAAAGGGTGATAAGGTGAGTGCAATTTATTTTTGTCTTCATTTTTGACCTTGTATCAACTTTATAAATGTTCCAAAATGTTCAGAACAAAGCAACACCATGATTAGTACCCCATTCATTACGTTCAACATCTACTGTCTCCCTGCTCAGTAACAACAGTGTGTACCATCTACAAGATGCACTGCAGAAGTTCGCCAAGGCTCCTCAAGCAGTACCTCCCAAATCCGTAACCACAACCAACTCAAAGGATAAGGACGGCAGATACATAGGACCACCACGCCCTGCCAGTTTCCCTCCAAGCCACACACCACCCTGACTTGGAAATGTATCGCAGTTCTTTCAGTGTTAATGGGTCAAAGTCCGGGAAGCTCCATCTGTAACAATATTGTGGGTTACACCAAATGGACTGCAGCAGTTCAAAAAAGGCAACTCACCACCACATTCTCCAGGGCGGATAGGAATGGGCAATAAATACTGGACCAGCCAGTGACACTCCCATCCCGTGAATGAATTTTTTAAAGTGCCATTTACATAAGTGGTTAGTTTGCAAATTTGGGTGAAAATATAAAGTGAACTTTGAACTTTGGCAAGACCGTAAGATGAAATAAAAGATCAGAAAGCTCAATAAAACAGGAATTATCCAGCAAGGAGTGTGACAGGTGGATCAGTGATGAATGTTTGTAGCATTTAACATGCAGCTAATCCACAAACTATCATTCATACAGCCTCCTACGTTAAAAGTGTGCTTGTAGTTTAGAGCAGTTGTAAATGTTAGAATAGTCTTTCCCTTGGAAACATAACCTGTGCAAAACTGATTCCTAAACCTTAAGTTTAACTGAAGAGCTGAACATCAAGCTGAACATGAGATCCAAAAATTATTTTTGTGCAGCAAGGTCCTTGAAAGTCTGATCCATGGGACCTGAGGCAAACGGAAATGTTATGGAATTTGTTCTGTTTTACTGTCAGGAGTCACTAATAATTGATGACTTACTAACTCAGAATCTGAATACTATTCACACTGATCGTTCACTTGAACACATTTTTCTCTCATAAATCTGTCTCCTCCTTCAAAAATGTTGCAAAATCAATGATGTGAGTTATCCTTGTGGTACTTAGCTGAACCTAATGCTTAATACTAGCTATATCATTGCCTCGAGTCTTAAGATTATGATTAAAATGGAATTGTGCCAGGTCGTACCTCTGACCTTTAATTTAATAAATGTTAAGTGCTGTTTTTTAAGAAGCAAACACTATGTTTAGCATTGACCATAATATTCAGAACCTCTTTGTAATACTGAGCTGGGAGTAATCTACACAATGGCTCACTATCCACAAATGAAATTAGTTTTTCAGCTTTTCAAAGTGTCGAACATTAGGTGCTGTTTATTTCCCAACGATTACTTCACAGTGTTAGTTTTCATCAGAGTTAGTATTTTAAAAATATGCTTCCTCGCCATTTCTATCAATATACAACGAACCAGTCCATGACAGTTCTTTAATTTCCTTTTATATTTGACAATTAGTCAAATGTTTTCTCCAATTTCCATGTCTTAAGCAAATTGTTTGAATGTCTTTTACGTCTTGACACTATTAATTCATTTTTCCAAACACTTCTGTGAGCGTGAGTGTAGCCATTGACACAGTAACTGACACACTGTAAACCCTGACAATCCAGGTCTTGATCATAAATAAAAATTCCCAGTGTCACAGACATCTTCATTAAAACGTCAGCCTTCCTGCTCCTCTGATGCTGCTTGGCCTGCTGTGTTCATCCAGCTCTCCACCTTGTTATCTATGACACCAGGTTATAGTCCAACAGGTTTATTTGAAAACACAAGCTTTCGGAGCGCTGCTCCTTTGTCAGGTGAAGTCACTGTTGGACTGTAACCCAGTGTCATGTGACTACTGACCTTGTCCATTCCAGTCCGGCACCAGCACCTCCACATCATAGCTACATAAACATTGTGGCTACAAGAACAGATCAAAGACTAGGAATAATACAACGAGTAACTCACCACCTAACTCTTTAAAGCCTGTCCATCATCTACAAGGCACAAGTCATCGACAAGAGTGTGATAAAATACTCCCCAGTTGCCTGGATGGAAGCTTGATGCCATCCAGGACAAAGAAGCCCACTTGTTTGGGACCACATGCACAAACATTCACTCCCTCCAACCTTGTACAGTAGCAGCTGTGTATCATCTACAGAAATTCACCAAAACTCCCTAATCAGCATCTTCCAAACCCATGACCACTGCCACTCAGAAGGATAGCTGATGCAAAAGCACACTACCACCTGCAAGTTCTCCTCCAAGCCACTTACCCACTGACTTGAAAATATATATTCTTCACTGTTGCTGAGTCAAAATGCTGGTATTTCCCCTCCCCCATGGCATTTTGGATCAAACTACACCAAATGGACTGCAGTAGTTCAAGAAGGTAACTCACTACCACCTTCTTTGGGGGCATCTAGGGATGGGCAATAAATGCTGGCCAAACCAGGGATTCATGAATGAATAAAAGAAAACTTGCAGTTCACACTAAATGATCAAACAATAGTAGAAATGTTCTAATGTTCTAATTGAAATAGTACATGTTGGACCGTGTTTGTCAGCAGTTTAAAAATCCATTTCTGTTTATGATTAGATAGTTATGAAAACTCATTGTAAAATGTTAATTATTTCACCAACATTTTAAAGGTAAAAGATAAATAATATATTCATGTTGTGAATGTGATTCAACTTTCATTTTCTAGGGTCAACGTGGAGATTCTGCACTCACTGTACGTATTTTGTCTCACAAACATTATTTACGATGGACTTAAATGGATATAAAGAACTATGTTTATAATCCTGCTTTTTAATGTGATTTTTACATAAGATTGACCCATAACTAATATAAAGAACTGAAAATTCAAGGCACTAATACCAATTTCTACATTTCAATTTTCCTATTTACAGTCAATGATTTGATTAAAGATGTTTCAATCCATTCAGTTCAGTTCTGTTCTTTCCTAAATGATTAACTTTGTTCAATACTTCCAGTGTGCTCACTGTTAGCATTCAAATGCTAAGTCTAGTCAGAAAATTAACTTGTCTGCGCCTCTTGACTTTCTAGACTGTGAAAGCTATTGTCTAACTTAGAAATTATCCAATAGTTTGCAAATACAGGACTAATCCGTAACTGCTGGTTAGTTCTTGATTGTGGATTTGTCTGATGTACTTGCTGACAACATGAAACCTCAGAACTCTGCTTTTCCACACTTTGGTGATTGACTTGTCAATAGTTCAGACATTCAAACTATTCGACAGAATCTAGTGCCGCATTCAAAATCATTTTGAAATGATTTGTCACAATTTAGAAAAAAAACATGTTTTGTACTCCTGCTGATTTTTGTTTTCTCTAAGATAAATAAGCAGAGAACGGCCATATTCCCTAATTAATCATCCATTCACATCCACAGATCTCCAGGTTTCTGGAAGATTACTCTACAATAGCTCGTTGACTCAGCACTTTCCCGGGACAGATTTCAAGTCAAATGCATGTTATGGGAAATATCTTGTCATTTCAGTGGAGTATGTTTGTGACATGATCCATTTTCACTCCACTCAATGGGAAATGACGTTTTTTTTGCATAGTCATGGTTTGATCATGTTACATTTACAATTCAGGTTAGAAAAAAATATTGATTTGGCTTGTATATAAGCAAAGTGCTAGAGAAACTCAGCAGGTCTGGCAGAGAGAGAAACAGAGTCAGTGTTTCAAGTCAAATATGACACATACAGAACCTAGAGACAGGACATTGGCTTTTCGTCTTGCACTTTTGAAATGCCAGATGTGCTGAGTTACTCCAGCACTTTCTGTTTTATTTCAGATCACCAGCATCCACAATACTTTACTTCTGTAGGTTTGGTTTTCTCAGTGCTTTTCATAATCCCACTGCAGGTTCTGACTGCTTCTCCCTATCAATGTTTTGCACCATGATCCTCACCATGGTCTCTCTTTTCTTGTTGTTTCTGCGGTTTGAATATCGACAAGGTCTTTGTTATCTTAGGGAGATCAGAAGCCCAGCAATAAAATCTGGCTTTCTTTTCAAAAAAGGTGACGGCTCTACTTAGAGTAGATTCATCAATGAAGGAGTTGATTAACTGGAGCTGAAGGTATGGCATGCTGTTTTCATGCCATTGCTGTGTCTGGAGCTTGTAGCAGTTAACCTTGTGCAGGAAGACAGACAGGGACTGAGTCAGACCACTACATGACAATCATGTTTAATTTAGGAGCTGAATAAGATTGAAGTTTCCATAGAGCATGAAGTGTGAGGCAGTCATGTTCAGTCTTCCAGTACTCCCCATTTATCAAACTAGTTGAAATGATCGTGAGGAATGAGGGATTCAATTTATTATTAACCCACGGATTTTGCATAATCTGTTCACTGTCTGTTGTTGAGAACTTAATTTCAGCCTCTTTGAGCCTGTAATCTGGAACCTCTTTGTAAACTAAACCAATCACATAGATTTGTGTTCAAGAAGCAAGAGCGACTTACATAACAAATTGCTGTAAAAGACTAGTGTTAGGGCCTGGTGATTTCCAGGGTTCTAACAAAATTGGCAAACAGCGATTACACCTAAATGTGCTGCAAGCAACATCTTGGCGATGTCCAGCTCCACATTCTTCCTCTATCCTTTTCTCATTTCTTTTTAATTCTCTTTATTTTCATTGTAACTAATTAATTATGGGCTTTCTGCAGAAGTTACAGAGGCGAAAATAGGACCCAAATGTTTCAGTTGTTTGTGATATAACTGATAGAGTCCAGTTACGTAATTTGTCAGAACATAACTTCCAGTATATGAACACAAGTCATTTAAGGTTCATCACAGACTAACCCAAAATTCGATTCTCTGTGGAAAGCAACATGAAGGATATGTTGATAACAGAGGAATTAAATCACATCTCATGACCCTGCACTGACTTATGATTAAGACGTGGAAAATAGTCTCAACTGACCCCAGACCACAAAACAAACCATTTTGAAATGTTAGTCCACGGCATGTCTGGCTGACTTGATAACAGGAATAGCTAAGCCTCTGCTTAGCGTAGTACTTTATTGCCCTTTTATGCAACAAAGCAGTTTTAAAGGCACTTGCAGTTCAGTTTGTTTGTTGCAAAGTTCTCGTGGGATGATTTAGAGCCCTGCGGTTTTTCTCCATCATGCCTTAGGATGCCATCAATTGCAACAGTCTCAATTCCCACTCCCATTGTATTAAGGGTTTGCAGAGAGAAAAACTGCCTTCAAGGCTTACTATGGATAAAGATCTAAAGAAATCATGTTTAAAAGTTACTGTTGCATAACTAAATGGATTTTAATGATTCGAATTCCAATATTTATCATCTTTTAGATCTATGGAGAAAGATGCAGTCATTGCCAATGCAAAACATTGAGATCTTCACTGCCTCCTATTATAGCAAAGTGAAGACAAACCAAGACCATAAAGAATTGACTGAGAGAACTAACATTTGTTAGGCTCACTGGGAATAATTGCGAGTTGAGTGACCTTGCCCGAATGCTCATAAATAATCAAATTTAAGCAACTATCTGCATTATAAAAGTCTGAATGATGCCTCTAGAATATCTGCTGGAGGGACTGGTGTTTAAACTCCACTCTAGCCTCACATTTACACCAAGGATACGACCGTACTCACACCCAAATTGAAAGAAGCTACTATTCTTACAACTAAGGGTCACTGCTTCGAAATAATGGGTCACCCATTTAAGACAAAGACGAGGAGAATTCTTTTCCACACGGAAGGTATCGCATCTTTGGAACTCTCTTCCTCGAAAAGCAGTAGAAGCAGAATCTTGCAATATTTTTAAGGTAGAACAGTAGATAGGTCCTTGATAAGCCAAGGGGTGAAAGGTTCCCAGGGGAAGAGTTGATGAGAATGTGGAATAATCAGATCAGCCATGAACTGAGTCTGACAGCAGGCTCGATGGGCTGTGTCCTAGTCCTGCTCCCAGTTTGTGTATCTGTTTGTTTCTGATCCAGGCTGCAATGTAAAGTAACTTTCTGCAGAAGCCTGTGTAAAATTCCTGTTTGCAATGGCACCATTATCTTTTGAGTTTTTGTCTAAACTTCAGTCGAAATTACATTGTGGATGCAATTCTGTATGATTAGGGTGAGCAGCAGATTTTATGGTCTTTCAGGTTAACCTACTAAGGTCATGGCTGCAGGAGATTTGACACCTCACAGCCAGAAGTCCTGGAGTGCTTCTTCCTCTGGCAATGGGGGAGGAGCAGGGACCATGGGCCTCCACCTCTGACTATGTTTGATCCATTATAATGGATGAAAAATCACAGAAAGCATGTGTGCTTGTTCTCAATCTTCCCTCCTGATGGGCAAAACTGGGAACAAAAGCTCTGTGTCGAGCACACTTTCCAGTGTGTTCTGACTGGCTACACTGCAAAAACAACCTTAGGACTCTGAGGAACTGTATCCTCTATTACTGTCACTGCAGTAGATTGGCAGCACATGATCGTAAAATAAACCATTTATAAAAAATCATTTCACAAATCCCGATTGAATTGATGGTAAGTATACTTGTTGTTTTTCACAAGACGTCTTTATAAGGATGTAGTGTACATTTTAATTTGGAGGGAACAGGTGAAGTGGTACGATTCTGTCTGCCTGTGGATGGAATCACTTAGTTTCTATGTTGCATTCTGTAGGAGTTCCCTGGGACCTCACTAGCAGCACTGCGGCTAAATCAGATCCTGACTGTGAAGGTTTGTGAGTGCTTTCACTGTCATTACAGCCAGTCTTACAACAGAGTGTCTTGTGACCTTTCTGAAGTAGCTCGAAATTGGTTCTGTTACTGGTTGAATTGCGAAGAAGCTGAGAAAGGATCCTTTTGCCAAATCAAATGGATGCTTGTCTGGAATATTTGTGAAGTTTTGTTGACTTGACCAGTTGCATTCTGAGCTGAAGTTTGATTGAATTGGTGGGGTTGCCAACTCTGGCTGGACATATCTCCTGGAGGCTTCATCATGTGACTGTGCACCTCCTGTAATCCTGCCTCCACTCTCCTACCATTGGTTGCCGAATACATCCATCGTGCTGCAGCCAAACAAAAAGCCAGCAGATCTCCACTATTTAACTGGATAGCTCTTTGCTATTAACTGAATGTGCCAATGTTGAATATGTTTGCAATGAATGAACAAAAATAATTCAGACATTTTTGTTGGAGCAACAACATTTAAAGCCCAAAACGATTTTTCCCCTGGGTTGCTAACAACAATGTCCTGGAAATTCGCCAACATTTCCTAAAGAGTCCAAGATGAACTGGAGGGTTGGTAACCCCACTACTAGTGTTCAGCAATCAACTGGGAAACACTCTGTATTTGCTGAACACAAAAGTTGTGCTGAAATCGCACTTCACTTTGTTATAAGACTGGGGCTTACTTCTCGCTAATTAAAGCCAGCAACAAATTCTGAGGGCAGTCCTTTGCGGGAAAAAAAGTTTGACTGTTTAATTTTTGTTTTATTTTTCTGCAACATTTGACACACAATGAAAGGCTGCTATGTTTTCCTTTCACCAACTACACACCGCCTGTAAAAATATTCCTGTTGCTGGCTTTCACTCTGGTATCGAGCTCTGCTGCTTTTCTCAATATTCTTTTCTTCTCTCCTCCACACCCTCCCTTCCCCTTCCCTCCCACCCTCATCTATCCATTCCCTTCCCTCCAAACAAAAACCACACCAATCATCACCTCATGACCTTTGGCTTTGTACTGACCTGTGACCTCTGGCTCACCTACTTGCTCAGTTCACTCCTCCTCGACTGAAAATACTACCACCTGCTGACCAGTTCATCAGACGCCTGTATCTCAAGGTAAATGCCTTTTCTGCTGCCAACACCACAATGGTCTTTTCCACATTCCTGCCCTCTTCCCCCTTCCCAATCTAATAGCCTATTTTTTGGTTATGACATATGCTTTTTGGCTGCTATACTTAATATCTATAACTTGCTCCTTTAATTGGCGAACAAATTGCAAGCAAGTATTGACTTTGTGGATCTTAGCGGGTTTTGGTTCAATCCTAGGGTGAACAAGGACAAGCCAGTAGCAACTGCTCTCCAGGACCCCCAGGACCCAAAGGGCCCCCTGGCCATGCAGGGAAGCCGGGAGCGGATGGTTTACCGGTAAGTGTTAGCCATGTCCATCTCTGTCTGGTCTTTGGACCTCTACCTAGCCTGTGAAAACTGATGACATTGCTGCATCCCCATGGGGTTAAAGAACTGAACTGTCTTTGTGTTTTCTCCTACTGAGTGTCCCCATCGAAGATGATTAACATCCCTTGTAAACAAGACCAGAATGATCCCATAGCCATCATAAAGTGCTAATCACAGCTGCAGCTCAAATGGTTTCAAAACTGTTTCCAAGTAATGCGTTATCTAATGATGGTTTCAGAGTGCATTTAATCGCTTCCCGAGCATCCAATGTGCTTTCAGCTGCCAAGATTTTAAACCCAGGAACTCCCTCACTAGACCTTTCTGGGTGTGTGTCTCTCTCTTCCTCTCTGCTTTAAAATATTCCTTAAACTCCATCTCCTGGACCAAATTTCTCGTTTATACTAATATCTCCTTATGTTGCTCAGTGTCAAATTCTGATAATGCTCCTATTTAGTACCCTGGGATACAATGTTACTCTATTAAAGGTGCTACATGAATGCAAGTTGTTGTCCACAATCACAGTTAGTCATTCATGGATGGGAACTAGAGCGCGGGAGAATGGGAGAGTGGAGAGTGGGAGATTAATGAGAGAAGGATTAGTATTATAGAATGAATTCCTTCACCGACTCCAATCCCCATGGGAGGACCTGCTCAATCTGAGCCAGGCACAGCTGAAACACAGAAACATTGAACACAGGAGCAAGAGTAGGCCATTCAGCCCTTCAAGCCTGCTTCATCATTCAATATGATCACGGCTAATCATTCCCCTGTTCCTACCTTCTCCCCATACCCTTGGATCCCTTTAAACCCCAAGAGCTCTAACTCCTTGAACACATTCAATGTTTTGGCCTCAACCTCTTAAGAGGCCAGTAGCCAATAAGCAGCTGTGGAATGGTTTTAGAGTGGGGCTTAGCAGACACTCGCTGTGTGTTAGTGAAGGATTCACTGTGTGTGAAAGTGGACAATTGCTGGAAAAGACTTTAATCTTGAGCGCCAGCAGAATACCACATTGCTTTGATACATCTGATTTTGTTCATGAACTCAGTCTGTCTGTTTAATGAACTGTGAAAACGTGCTTTATGTTAAATCTTTTCGCAGCAGTTATAAAGTCATAGAGATGTACAGAGCAGAAAGAGACTATTGGGTCCAACTTGTCCATACCGACCAGATATCATAAATTGATCGAGTCCCATTTGCCAGCATTTGGCCCGTATCCCTCTATACCCTTCCAATTCATATACCTATCCAGATGCCTTTTAAATGGGGTGATTGTACCAGCCTGCACCACTTCCTCTGGCAGCTCATTCCATACACGCACCACCCTCTGTGTGGAAAAAGTTGTCCCTTAGGTCCTTTTAAAATTTTCCCCCTCTCATCTTAAATCTATGCCCTCTAGTTTTGGACTCCCCTACCTGGGAAAAAGACCTTGGCTTCACCCTATCCATCCCCATCATGATTTTAAAAACTTCTCCACCTCCAAGGCTCCAGGGAAAATAACCCCAGCCTATTTAGCCTCTCCCTATATCTCAAACCTTCCAGCCCTGGCAACATTCTTGTAAATCTTTTCTACACCCTTTCAAGTTTCATAACATCTTTCCTATAGCAGGGAGACCCAAAGTGAATGCAGTATTCCAATAATGACCTAACCAATGTCCTGTACAGCCACAACATGAGGGAGAAGGGAAATTGTGGAAAGGAGTGATAATTAATGGGGAAAATAATAATTGCCCAACTGGATTTAGCTGGTTCTTGTCTTCCTGGTCAGTGATAAAATAATGACAGAATTCTTTATTTCCAGGGAAAACCTGGAGATCCTGGAAAACCTGGAAGAGATGGAATGCCGGTATGTAATTAAAGTTTCTAACAGGGCAGAAGTGCATTGTTTATGCAGTCGACCTTCTACTTTTCATTTAATCTCCCCTGGCATTTCCATAATGGGATTTGCCAAAACGGGCTACAATTCTGTCTACAGCAGACCAGGAGTATGGTCACCTCAGACTGATGTCTTTTTTTAGCCTTTTCTAACTGAGCTGAGACAGCTGGGAGTGCGGGTGCAGGACATCAGGCCTGAACGATGACTGATGTGAGGACAATGCCTTGGATTGCACCATCGAGACCCCTCAGAAACTAACTAATGCAAACCCTCGAGAGCCTCGAACTCACGGCTTCCACTCGGCATCCCAAGTATTTCACCCCAATTAAAAACCTTTCCTTAACCTGACACTGAGCTTTCAGCAGTCACATTCTCACTGTACTGATGAAAAGCAAAAACACACAAAAGTTGCTTCATTGCCATTAATACAGTAAAACCTAAACTGTATAAATTCATTGAGCACAATTATAGCCAAGGACGCTGTGAAAAAGTGAATGATACTTCAGTCACAAGCTGTTAGCAACCATGTACAGTTTTAAAATCTCTTCTGTGAATAAAAGGGCGCTTTAAATCTGTTGGTTTTTCACTGTGTCAGCTTTGTTGATTTTAAATCTGGGGTGTATTATTTACCAATTTTGGTGGTTTAGCATTGACACTGTCTTGATGAGGCACTCGGGCAGATTGTAGGAATCTGTCCTTCAAGGCTATCAGTTTATTTTTCCAAGAAAGGAATTAAACACTGTGTAGTTGATTTTAACCCACTTCTAATTCATCACAAAGGGCATGTGTTACTTATACATTCTCCTGCTCTAGAGTATGACCTGCTGATGTAGCAGAATGGAATAGCAAGTTTGCATAAACCAAAAATGAGGCAACCAGCCCATTTTTCTGACTGGGTAACAATGGTTAAAGGGTGAATACTGGCCAAGACATAAGGAAGGTTTGCTTGGTCTTCCTCTTCAACAAATATTGGCTTGGCATGACCTCAGAAGAAGAGTCAGTCCAGGCTGGAAATGTTAATTCTGTTTCTCTCGTCACAGATGCTGCCAGACCTGCTGAGTTCCTCTAGCATTCTCTAAATTTGTTTCACACATTCCAGCTGGGAAAACTGACAAAGCTTTGATTTAACCTTCTGTTGGACCATTCCTCTAACAATGTAGTCTGCCTTGACACTCCTCCAAAATGTCACCCAAGTCTGAGATTGGAGGATTATGACTTTGACTCATAACCGTGTGCTAACCCAAGCAGCTATAAGATTTATTTCAAACCACGACCTCAGGCCCCTGTCAGCATCAATGCATAACTGCAAAAAGTTCATTTTGAATAGTGTCCAAGCAGCAGGACAAGAATCTCTTCACTTTTCTTTTAATTTCTCAGGGTCCACCTGGAATACCTGGACTGAAGGTAATTAACAATGCTAGTCTTAATACCGGTGACTCGATCAGTAAATTTAAATTTTGAGCTCTAAGTAGATTTGTAAAATGAGGAGCTATTTTTAGCACTTCCTTCACCATGTGGTTTTAGTTCAGAAACAGGAGGGTGTCTGCTCACCATTAAAATAGCAGCTACTAACCTTGGACCCGGTGCGTTTGCACTAAGCTGTTTCTACAGATCTCTCTTCATCCTGCTGCTATGATTGCTATGGTTCCGTAATCTAAATACAAAACAGAATGATTCCCTCATGCACCTGTGTTGAGACCGCTGCAGTGAGCATTTTCTGATCTTCAAGTGCACACATTGAATCAGTTGGACTGAACGCGTCATTTCTGTGCAGTACACGTATGGTAAATGGAGGAGAAAGTTTTTATTCAAGGAGTCATTCACAAATGTTGAAAGCCATGTCAGGTATCCTTTTGAAACTTGTTGTATGGTTGAAGTTTCCCTGGTGGTTTGGGAAAGCTGTTTCCCCTTTGGCAAACACACTGAACATTTGCTCAAGGGGACAACGTGGTAGGTTATCACGTGTGGCCCAAACTCAAAATATCAAGGCTGTTAATAAGAAAGTTCTGCAAATAACAAAGCAACATCTTCACAAGCTTCAAAATCTCCCCTCCCCCTACCGCATCCCAAAACCAGCCCAGCTCGTCCCCGTCTCCCTAACCTGTCCTTCCTCCCACCTATCCACTCCTCCCACCTCAAGCCCCACCCCCACCTCCTACCTACTAACTTCATCCTGCCCCCTTGACCTGTCCATCCTCCCTGGACTGACCTATCTCCTCCCTACCTCCCCACCTACACTCACCTTTACTGGCTCCATCCCCGCCTCTTTGACCTGTCTGTCTCCTCTCCACCTATCTTCTCCTCTATCCATCTTCTATCCGCCTCCCCCTCTCTCCCTATTTATTTCAGAACCCCCTTCCCCCTCCCCCATTTCTGAAGAAGGGTCTAGGCCTGAAATGTCAGCCTTCCTGCTCCTCTGATGCTGCTTGGCCTGCTGTGTTCATCCAGCTCTACATCTTGTTATCTCCCTCCCAATCTAGATAGTTTCCAAACAACGGTCATACAGCGTCCATGGACAGAGAGCAAGCTAACATTTTGAGTCTAGATGTCTCTTCATCAGAGCTGAAGCTCTGACAAGGAGTCATCTAGACTGGAAACACTGGCTTGTTTTCTGTCCATGGATGTTGCCTGACTCACTGTGATCTCCAGCATTTTTTTTGTTTTCAGTGCAGATTCCAGCATCTGCAGTAAATTTGCTGCTACCCTATTCTCCAAACAGCCTGTTCATGGATGTGATTACACACCTCTGGGATAGGTGGGTCTTGAACCTGGACTACTTAACTCAGAGGAAGGAACACTACACAGCATCCCCCTCGTCCTCACGTACCACCCCACCAACCTCCGGATCCAACGCATCATCCTCCGACACTTCCGCCATCTGCAATCCGACCCCACCACCAAAGACATCTTTCCCTCCCCACCTTTATCTGCTTTCCGGAGGGACAACTCTCTCCGTGACTCCCTTGTCCGCTCCACACTCCCCTCCAGCTCCACCACACCCGGCACTTTTCCCTGCAACCGCAGGAAGTGCTACACCTGCCCCCACACCTCCTCCCTCACCCCCATCCCAGGCCCCAAGAAGACTTTCCACATCAAGCAGATGTTCACCTGCACATCTGCCAATGTGGTATACTGCATCCGCTGTACCCGGTGTGGCTTCCTCTACATCGGGGAAACCAAGCGGAGACTCGGGGACTGCTTTGCAGAACACCTACGCTCGGTTCGCAACAAACAACTGCACCTCCCAGTCGCGAACCATTTCAACTCCCCCTCCCATTCCTCAGACGACATGTCCATCCTGGGCCTCCTGCAGTGCCACAACGATGCCACCCGAAGGTTGCAGGAACAGCAACTCATATTCCGCTTGGGAACCCTGCAGCCCAATGGTATCAATGTGGATTTCACAAGTTTCAAAATCTCCCCTCCCCCTACCGCATCCCAAAACCAGTCCAGCTCGTCCCTGCCTCCCTAACCTGTTCTTCCTCCCACCTATCCCCTCCTCCCACCTCAAGCCGCACCTCCATCTCCTACCGACCAACCTCATCCCGCCCCCTTGACCTGTCCGTCCTCCCTGGACTGACCTATCCCCTTCCTAACTCCCTA